TAGAAGATCAGTTAGATTCGTTACAAGGCGCGAAGTATTTTAGTACTTTAGATTTAAAGAATGGTTTTTTTCATGTTTCAGTTGAAGAGAAAAGTAGAAAATATACTGCATTTATAGTTCCTGATGGACATTATGAATTTTTAAGAGTTCCTTTTGGGTTGTGTAATTCTCCATCAATATTTCAAAAATATATAAACGCCGTTTTTAAAGATCTCATCCACGAAAAAATAGTATTGACATATTTAGATGATTTGATAATACCATCGGTTGAATGCGAGGACGGTTTGAAGAAACTGCAGATGGTTTTAAAAACAGCTAGTGAAGTAGGCTTGCAGATAAATTGGGAAAAATGTAGTTTATTACAGAATAGAGTTGAATTTTTGGGACATATCGTAGAAAACGGACAACTACGCCCATCTGAACACAAGACAAAGGCAGTTAAAAAATTTCCGGAACCAATGAATACGCGACAGGTACAGAGTTTTCTCGGGTTAAGTGGGTACTTTAGGAAGTTTCCTATTAACTAAAATACACCAATATAATAAGTAAAGCGTCTAAAATCAATCACCCCATTCCTCGAGAATCCTACAATAATAAGACAAAATTTTGTTAAATATTGTAATAAATAGGTATTCAGTAGACGATATTATAGTGTTTGGTTATTTCACTACTTTCCTGCTTCTATAATATTATACCTCGTAAACTTTAAATTCAGTTTTCTCAGTTTAGAAACTAGTGTAGATAGAACAATTAAGAACCAAAGCGACCATACACCGATACGATTTTAATTTTCTATTCGTTAATCCTAGATCCTACGGGAAAAGCACTCCACATTCCCCCTCCCCCATTTTACGCGGGAATTGTTTTTTATTGCGAAGCTACGAGAAATCTAAATATCTTTGGTACATAAAGAGAGAGAGGGAGGGAGAGGGTGAGAGAGAGGGGGGGGGGTCCTCGCGATGACCTTACACTTGAGATAGAATTTCTGTGACGAGTGATCTTGCTACTTCTCGAGAATTTTTGCGACGAGTGATCTTGCTACTTCTCCAGAATTTATGAGACAAGTGGTCGTGCAATTTCCCACGGTATTATGTACGGTAATGCAGGTGAAACGATCGCCGAAAATCTGGCGGAGCCAAAAGCACAATCCTCTCACGAGCGCCGTTATTCCTCGCCAAGAATCATCGCGCGCCATGTCTTTGTCTGGCTCCTTCCTCTCTCCAGCCAGCCTAATCCTCCATTTTTCGTTCTTCCGTACAATATTCCGTCGCGACACACATTCGTAAAGACATAAACCGCGACGAAAAATGAACCTGACACAAGTCGTTTCGCGTATTTGTGCCCTCATGCGCCATGACCACGCGATATCTGTCGTTCTCCAACGAGAACCGACACAACTAGAACTTCCACGAGTCGAATATCTTCGCGTACTGTTCTACGCGTTGTGATATCGACAGAATTCGATCGTGGTTCCATGTGAAAACTAACTGACAGAACGTTCGCCGAGTGTCTTTTTCGAGAAATGTAAAACCACCTTTATTGCAATTCCTGTACTATCGATCATCGATAAAAAACGATTTATCGATCTCAAAAGTCGAATAACCAACGTTAAGTTCTAGTTATTTTTATTTTCGATATAGTATCTCGATTTTGGAAGTTACGATGTTTTCAAGAGAAATACCAATGTTCGACACGACTTCCATCGTGAACGGATGTACCGGGCGAAAATCGCTACAGCAGTGTGCATCCAAAGAATCTATTCCATTTTTCGAAGATTCAGGCTCGTATAAAAATATTTCTGTTATATACGCGATTGGTCGTTTTTAACGAATATAATCGTGAAAAATCGCCACAAATCACAAGGCTGCGGATTTTATGCATTTATAGCCAATGGCTATAAGTTAGGGCTTTGTGTAATACAAAAGAAAAAAAAACTGTCGTCACATATAATGTGTTTTCTACTTTATTCTGAACGCAATAAGATATTTAAGAGAAGAAATAAATTCCTATCTTTGCTGTTGTCGTCAAAAATTACTTTAGAAAATGTCATTTTGCAGAAAAATCTGCAGTCTACAAATCACAGAACAAAACCTCATAACGTGATTTCCCTGTCCCCTCCATCGCTCGTGCTTTCTCTTTCTAGCTGTATGTTCGATCGTTAAGTTTTGTCGCGTTTAAAAAAAAAAAAGAACGAAATTGAACGAAAGTAGAAACCGCAGTAGTTGGTTCCTGTTACCGCAACGTGAACCGTAGATTTACTCCCCACCCCAATCCCTCCCTCTCTCCCTGTCGACGATTGGATGATCGACCCTGACTACCCCACCGGATTCAATGAAAACAACATCCCTGTGCTCCTAAATGTCTTGGAATCAACTTCGTTCAATCGCACGAATTTTCTATCGCGACCATCATATTAAATCACCACCACCCCCTCCATCAATGTTGATCAGAATACGATGACACCACCATTATCGAGTAAGTCTCGTAATATCATACGTACCCTAAGTTTGAGTAACTTTGACTCGCTCAGGGGTAACTTCGTTCCAAGTCCAAAAACCACTATTTTCGATTTTATAGCTCCGCATGCTGTTAAATTACATTGATTTTTATGTGAAGAGTTATTTCACGTAAAAACTATCTGTCAAAGAACTGAAAAATCGAAAATGATCAATCTCTGACGTTAAGACAAAGTTGTTCCTGACTAAGTCAAAGTTACCCCAACTTATGGTACATTTTCGATTCGTGTGTATGACTATGCGTTCGACGTCCGTTATATACATGTGTTTTGTTCTTTTAATCGTAGAATCGATTCCGTCCCATAATCGACGAGTGTATGCAATAATCCGTTCGGGGCTGCCGGTTGGTATTTCCCTAATTTTCTCGTTACTCAGTTCGTGATCGTCGGATTTTACTGTATCGTCGAGACGTAACACCGTGCTGGATGCACTCGAGACTGTTGGAATAAAATTCTCTGCGGTACGTTAAAACGGGTCGAGAGCAGGTTAGAAATAAGGTCGTCGTGCACGAAAACGATCCCCGAAAATGCTCTATTAAAAATTGACCAACGAAATATACGTTTTTCGAGACTTTGTGAATGTTGCAATGTTATATAAGCGATTGTTCGCGGAGATTCGTGTCACGAAACAGTTCCAGATCATTTGACACTTTGTTCGTATATTTTTCATTGTACAAAATGAGCTCACCAGTTCTGTTCCGTGAAACATCGCGACGGTGCATTATTAGCCCGTGAAGCATTTTCAAGCACGGGGTTTGTATGAACTGTTTTCCCCCTACCCCCACCTAATCGACTCCCCCCAACGTACCAGCATAAATTGGACACCAATCTTATATGTTCGATATGTATACAGAACGATAATGTAACGTCTTACGCGAAAGAAATTTCACCTAAAAACAAACCAAAAAAAAGAATTAATAAATACGCGTGTCGGCAAAATTCGCTGTTACCGCTACTACTGCTGTTGCTGTCCTTATTTTCTTTGTTTCATTCTTAATTGTTTTCTCCCCCTCGTTCCTCCGAACACTCATCAACGATCTCGATTTATAATGTATCTATGTATGCCTGTGTCATTCGACGAATGATTTAATTAATTATTTTCGTTTCTTTCTCAATTCACATGTACGTGTATGCACGATTTCTCTTTGGCCATTTTGAGTGTGCATCGTTCAATTTTTAGCTTACTCTCACTCTTTTTCTCGTTTTCTTGCTCTTTCTCAATCTCACTTTCTCACTCTTGCTATCTTTCACAATCTCACTTTCTCACTCTTGCTCTCTTTCACAATCTCACTTTCTCACTCTTGCTCTCTCTCTCTCTCCCCTCTCTCTCCCCCTTACACGATCAGGATTGTCCATATGTTTACATTCCGTACTAAAAAGTGCAGCTCTATATAAAAGATAACGTTGCTCCTTTTGCGTATAGCAACATAAGGCGATATAATATATGAATACTCTTACAATTTATCTATGTACGAACGCCGGTGGTCCTCTATTAAAAACGTTCCAAAAATGAATCCTTGTTAGCTCGTACTCCGCCGATCCTATTTCATAAATACTCTTTTTTTATCTCTGTTCCCCCACATCCCCTATCGTTATTCTTTCGCTTTCGTTCTCATCCCTTCTTCACCTCTCCCCCCACTCTCTCTTTATCACCCTCTTCCTCTACCATTTACGTAAGATACAATAATTCAACAACGAGCATCTGTAGCCAGTATATAACGAGTATTTTTTATAAGATTCACAATATACTATAATAAAGATATCTATCTCTCCTTTCTCTCTCTCTCTCATACACCCCCTCTCTTCACTCCCACTGATCCTCACTCACGCTCTCTCCCTTTTTCTCTATCTCTCTTCCCCTCTCTTTCTGATGTTGTCCACAGAGAACGATCAATGAAATACGAGTCATATATAAATATTACTCCAACGGAATAAATCGTGTGTGACGACTAACGATACAAATGTGGATCGTATCATGGCGAAGATATTTTTTCCTTTTCTCAAACATGATGAAGAAGATTCACGTGGTAGTAGACAAATAGACAACAATGCACGACGATATGACACAATTAATTGTTTTGTGGATTACGAGCTTCCTCTCTCGACGAGTCTTGTGAACTTGGTACGTTCGAACAGAGACAGGACAAGATGACGAAGAGGGGCGTGGTGTAAAGGGATGCCGGGAGGGGGGAGGGGGAACATTTATAAGGGTAGTCGATGCTACTATGTACAAAATAACTGTCAGACAAGGTGACATTACCGACTATTCAATAAGAGTTTTATATATATATATATATATATAGATAAATACATAGAGATATTATATATACACATAAAATATGTATATATGTGTGTATATATATATCATCATCATCATCATTCTGATACGTCAATATGTTATACAGCTACTTAATGGAAAAAGAAATTACTTTCTCATGTAAAAAGTAGTGACCACGGTGTAACGATGGTGATTAATGTTTGTGTATGTATGTGTGTACAATTTCTGTGTATGCAACAACCGAAAGGAAGTTTCTTTAATATATTATATTTTGCTTACTTTTTCTTTTTCTCACCTTTCACTCTCATCCTCTTTCTTGCTCTTTTTCTTTGCCTCTAAACACTCGACAGATTCGTTTGTATCCTTTTTCATATTCTTTCTGATAAGTTCGGACACAAAATAACAAAGCGCAAAATCTGCAATGTGCTATATACTATCTTTTTTATTCTCTAATTTCTCTCTCTCTCTCTCTCTCTCTCTCTCTCTCTCTCTCTCTCTTTCTCTCTGTGCCTCGACCGCGCGCACGCACGCTCGCACACACACATACATGCACACACTTTCTCTCTCTCTCTCTCTCTCTCTCCCTCACTTTCTGTCTCCCAAACATTAACTCTGTCTTTTCTGCTAACGTCAATTTAAGTTTCCCCGCGCACACGCACACAATGATACACCCGCACTCACACATACCCGTAATTCTTTCTTTCCCCCTTGCACACGTATACGTTCCTTACACTTTCTTTCTCGCTCTCGCTCTACCCTTCTTTTTCATCCCCTTCTTCCCCCCTTCCCCTCCCCATCCAAATCCCCGATATTCCATCTTACTTCATCTAGCTGTTTCTCTCGCTCGACAAAAGCGACCAACGAGTGACGAACCATCGCGTATGAATAAATACGCGACACGTGTATCCATCTTCTATCCACAGGAAGAATTCAAAATTCGGCGAATTCCTTGGCGCACTTCTCCGTCAGCGAAATCCTGAGCGTCTCCTCCTCGTAGTCGTCGAAGTTGCTAGTATCCCCGGCCCCTTTGCACTTCGGTATGAACGGTGCCTCGATTTTCTTTTGGAAGACAGCTATCCAATCGGTACTGGCAAACCACTTGTGACCTTTGATGTCGTTCACACCAGCCTTCAGATTCCCGTACCTTTTGGTAAGATCGACTTGCAGCAAGTTACGTAGCAAGTCTTTCAAATCGGAACCGAAATGCGAGGGAAACCGCGGCTTTCCCTGGACGATCTTCTCGTAGATCAAGATCGGTTGATCGGCGAAAAACGGTGGATAACCGGCGGCCATCTCATAAACGAGGACACCAAGCGCCCACCAGTCGACAGCCTTGTTGTACCCTTTGCTCAGGATAATTTCCGGTGCAAGGTACTCCGGCGTGCCGCACAAGGTCCATGTTCTACCCTGTACCCTTTTGGCGAAACCGAAATCTGTGACTTTCAGATAGCCCTGCGAGTCGATCAGCAGATTCTCCGGCTTGAGGTCCCTATAGATTAAGTCGAGGTAGTGAAGATACTCGAACGCCAGTACAATTTGTGCCGCATAAAAGCGCGAGTGCGGTTCCGTGAAACGGCCAACTTTACGTAAATGACTGAACATCTCGCCACCTGGCACGTATTCGAGGACCATGTAAAGGTACGAATTATCCTTGAAGTGAAACCGTAAGGACACGAGGAACGGGAAGCTAATCGCCTGCAGTATCCTCTTCTCGTTCAGAGTGTGTTCGACCTGCTTAAGTTTCACGACCTTTTGCTTGTCGAGTATCTTCATAGCGTAATACTCTTTGGTCGGCTTATGTTGCACTATCATGACACGGCCGAACGAGCCGGTGCCGAGTGTCTTGATCCGCTCGAAGTCATTGAGATCAGCGGTGTTCGTCGGGTTCTTCTTCCACTTGTCCTCAAAGTCCTTCTTTGCCTTGTCGAGAAACTCCTTGACGCTCTCGGCAGCGTCAACCTTTTTGTTCGCAGTGGCGGCATTGTTGCCCATCTTAGCAGCCGCGCTAGTACCCGAGCCTGCCAGGGCTCTACGCAGCTCGAGAAGATCCAGAAGACTGCGTCTTCGTCTTGGTTTGTCCTCTCCCACAGTCGAGCCTCCCAAGGCCCCGCCAACCTTCGGTCTTTTCAGAATTTTGTTACCTTCTGCTGCACTGTTATCGGTACCTTCTTGCACCGTGTAGTTTTCACGAACGTCCCCTTGTTTACTGTTCTCTCTGTTCGTCGATTACTTAGGGCAGTCTCTGTCACGGTACCTTGTCAATGCCTGGCCCTACGAGATCAACTACACACGTCCTAAGTGGACACTCAACACTTACGCAAGAATAGGACACACGCGCGCACAGCACGGTGGACACACTCCTATCAATAACGGATTACCCCTTCCGGGTTTTCGGATCGATTCACTTAATTGGAACCGAGTATTCTCACTCGGTTCGAACTTTAATGGTATTTTTATTGCACGACAACGTAAGACCGAGCGATTTCGCGCGGAAAAATGGGTCAGCATTAATCCTCGCCCGCACCTCGCGCCATCTTTCCTGTCAATTGTACTAGCCCGTCGTTGCTGTCGTTCCGTTCTGTTCACTAAACACAACCGCTTCAATCCTCTCCTTTTCGTTTTATTCCTATCTTAATTCGTAGTGTCGAACACTGCAATGAATCCCGTTGTGGATCGTTCCACTTGCTCTGTCAAATCAAAACACTACACACTTGATTGATTCACAGTGGAACGTACCCGAGTGGCGAAATCTGTAATTAGATGATAGTTTAAACAAGGGTCGAACGAAAGAAGAGAACGACGTCTCGATTTCGATCGTTCCCAACCCTCAATACGCTTACGAAACGTCGTCTGCTGAACTTGCACGACACACACACATTTAAACGTTGACTCGGCGTATTAAATGAACATCGCGAACGATATTGTATCGCGTCTACCCGCGAGAAAGATGTAAAGTACGCGCTAACGCACTAAACACACCAATTGTTTTACTCTATACTCGCGAACTGATTTTAAGCTCGTAAAACGAAGCAGGCGGCGGTAGCGGAGGCAGTCGGTACCGTACCTAAAGATGGCGACGCGGCTCTCTCCGCTCGTTCGTTCGGGATTTCGCACGGATGCGAAAATGACGAAGTGCCACTCTAGGAAGCAAGAGAGATACTGTGCTGTACTGATCAACCATTGCTTCGACTTGTCGCCGACAGATGTAGCACGGGCAGATTCAACGGCTTCCTCGGGATGTGCTGCCACCATGCGAAAGCGTTAACGTACTTTAAATTCAAAGTAACCTGTACTTACAAATCATCCAAGGTTTTCGTGCTGAATCGTGAAATGTTGTGTACAACTGTTCTGTGTCACCGTTTCAATGGGGAATGTGACCCTTTGTGTCATACGAAGAAAACATTGCAATACACTGTGAATAACTTGACAGATTTAGTGTCGAATCTCATTCATGTAAAAACAACAACGCGTGTTACTATTTAGTATTATTAGTAACTGAAAAAAATTTAAGTGCCTTTAATTTACTGTAACATTAAAATTGTGCTGTTTAATTGGAAACTGCATATTAGAATTAACAATTCATTCTGCAAATTATAAGAATTGTTCATATTTTTGTATGTATATATATTGCTTAGTATGTCTTTAATTCGTATAAAGAGTTAAGTGAGAAGATGTATTTATAAATTACTCACTTAGTATATTCCATATTACTGACTTTAAAGTTAAAATACTATATTGTATTATCGTTAATTGTTAATATGGCGCCTTTATTTGTACTCTTCAAAGGATATGCCTGACAATGTAAACATATAAGGTTATGAAACTAGTTCGTCACAATAACATAACTCGAAAATTTTATTTCGTTAATTTTAACCGTATTATTGTAATTATTTTCTTATAAGCTGGTCCCAAGTCGAGTTTATTATCAATTTGGTTGTTTCATCGCTATTAATAATAATCGATCTGTTTTGTGGTATTGAACCGTGGTATGCACACGGCAGGTTGAACACCCGATGACCTGTGATAATCCTTTGGCGATTAGTTTCTAACTGTAGATAAGCATATAGGCACAATTTTAGAGCAGCAGATACGGTCGAGAAAGCTAGGTGGAGTCGATGGAGGACGGGACGAACCGGTTACCACCGAGTCAAAAAGGTACGACCAGGCCAGGCCTTTCGGACACAGTATTTTTGTGTGTAGTCCCGACAGATTGCACGCCAGACTAGGTAAAGGTGGCAAAAGACATTTCTATCGAGGTTACGTTCGGATGAGTTTCATGCATCAACCTCAATTTGTTTCTACCCTATGGGATGCGCGCGACCACGCGCTCTATTGATTCCATGACCTGAACTGAAAGCGGTGTTCCAATTTGTCGAAGGAAAGTAAAATCGACTAAGTATTTACTTGCATCATCTATTTCTTCAATCCTTTTTTCAAAATGTTCAAAGTAAAGTAGTATTTTTACTAAAGCATTAATATTCATATCCATTCAGTGCTGCAATTTATAACTTAATATTGCTCTCTATGTTTTCCCATGATACAAGCTTGATTTGTATATTTCTATTGCTCTCGTTTTTTAATGCGCAAAGATAACAAAAACACCTTCATAACAGGTTATATTATGGTAACAACGCGTTAAGAAAAGCGAAATGAAAATTTAGATGCGTGATGCTATCTTTAGTTTGACACTGCAAAGCCAGTAGAAATATAGGTTACTGCCATCGAAATAGCTTGTGGCTGAACACTTCCACTGACCCACTAAAACGAAATTTAATTTTATCAAGCAAAGCTGCATGACAACAGATTTCCATCTACTTACAATATGTTTAAACCTTATGGAAGTTCATTTAATAAATATTTGCTGAAAAAAACTTGAAAATTTAAAGAAGTTTTATAAGAATAATTCTTTGATAAGGGTAGCTGATATATTTCATTCCGGACGTATGTAGAAAATTATTTAGAGAAGGACTAAATAGGTATATAACATACTCTTCCTGTGTAAATGCCGCGTATTTATATTTTCATTGTGTATCATAAATAGAAGTGAACTAGAAACGCCGAACATATACCTACGCCTTCCTAGTGGAAAGTTTCATTGAAATCTAAACTCTATTTGACATGAGTGTGTGTTCAATGCTTCACAGTGCAGAGGATATTCGGAAAGAAGCATCTGCTTCGCACGTCTTCACCTGCACTGTACAAAGCAGCTGCTCAGTGTTATCTTTGTGCTTACGTAGACTCCTGGCACGTGGCATACATGGTAGGACGAAAAATACATTCATGAACTGCCGATACGTTTGCATAATTTTTGCGAATACGCAACTTCAAAATTGAATCATATTACATTCATTCATATATGTATATAGAAACAATATTTTTTCTACGAATTTTTTATAATAACAATATAATAAACTATAGTAATATAAATATTATAATATTGCAATATTTATTTTTTCTTTATATGTATATGTATATGTATACACACATATATATCATTTATATGTGTATATATAAAGTCACGGTATTTTTTATATTGATGCGATATGTATAAAGCTTAAATGGGTAAGGTACTACAGAATTGGAATATTTTTCCACCTATAATTTTTGTGTGTAACAGATTTCAAAAATACAAAAGTATAGGTAGTACGAATTACCCAACATGTATCAAGAGGACATGAATACATCGTATTGAATCTACTTTCATTCTTACCTAAGAGTATTTCTAAAACGCTTTATTTTTAGAAATCATATCACAGTGTAAAGAAAAAGTGATATTTTACTGTTTCACAGACAAGGCAACCTGTAACATGGACGTAAATGCAACAGAGCCTTTCGGTTCGGTGCGCGGATCAACCTGAAAGCATCGCGCACCTTTTAATATACACCGGAAATGGGGCCATACGCGAAACTTCTAGAACTTTCCTTACCTCAGCTATCGTTTAAATCCCATATATTACCGTCGGTGCATATCGAATTTTACTCAAATCAAACCAACGGCCTAAATTGTACATACGATCCATTAGCTATTACTTTTGAAGCGTTGCGGAACAAAATACAGGTTCTTCAAACAATACGTTGCTAGCGCCGGAAGCGCGGGGATTTTTTACGAGTTTCGCAGAACAAGATCCAATTGGTCGGTACGCTACTTGGAGGGGCATTAACGAAGCAATAGTGGCAAATTCACCACTACTATGAACCTTGTGTCTTATAACTATTAGCAACGTTAATTAAATCTGTTTCGCATTATATGTGTCTTGTTATACATTTGAAATAAAATAAAACTGCCCCCAAAATTAAATCTGCCTGTCAAGTATTTTTGTTAGTCTATAATATACCTTTCTGAGAAACTTTATTGGACTCAGTCGTGATCGCGGTTAAAATACAACGGGAAATTTTACACGTCTCTTAATGTAATTTTCCTTATGAAGTAAATTCAAAACAATTCGCAGCGCTGATTCATTGTTTCGATAGCAATATAAAATAAAATTACCTATCAATTTAATACATTGTATGTATATACCTCACCAATTTTAAAATCAAATTTAGAGTAGACGTGTTAATGGGGGACTGACTCGTACGCCATCTGTAAACGAGCGGGAAAGAAAAGTGTTTGAAGGCCGCCGGCCTGCCGGCCGGGCCGAGTAACTCGGGTCTCGAGCGAATCAGTGTGCGAGTCTCTCTGCCATTTGCGCGTCGGTACGCGACTACGCGGCAGTGGTGATACCAGAATTCTACGTCTGCTTACCGGTGCGTAGAAACGCAGGCCTTATTAAGTGCGTTTGGTAGACAAATACTTTATCAACTTCACAATTAAATCTATCACCATGGCGGATACAGAAACTAAGTAAGTGATACGGATTTTTTTATCGATTTTTGTAAGGGAATCACAATTTCTATTGAACGCTTCTGTAATGCTTTCGTTACCGAATAGAGAAATAGCGGGCTGATGTTCTTACTATTCTAAATTTCCCATTTTCATTCATCTCTTGCGAATAATTTATAACTGGTTACAGTTTCTTCGCTTTCACAATTTTGTTTGTATTTGTAGTCGATTGTGTAGTTTTGTAAGAATACGGCCACGAGAAAGGGACAACGAGGTTGGGGGGAGGGGATATGCTCTCTGTACGTGATATTCTCAGCTTGATTCGTAAGACGCGTTACGTTCTCAGGATTACCTGCTTTTGCCACGATGCGTGCTCTACTTGCAGAGCCGCTTTTCTGCTGGCATCATTTACCTTTTTATTTTTCCCACTTGTAGCTTCGCATACGTAAGACAACGGTAAAGTGGCACAACGCGTCTCAGCAATGTGTACATTATTCAGGTTTTTTTCTTGTTACTATTATTCTCATCCATGTCCTTAAAATCGTTTATAATCACAATATATACATTTATATTAATAAATCATTTTGTATACGCGGAAATTTCGTAACGAACATTTCCTAGTATATCTTTTAGTTCCCCCATACAAATAATCACACAAATATTTATACGATTAATAAAAGAAAATATCAGTTAAATATGCAGAAAGCCTGTGAATATTTTACGGGTGATTGTACGCGCATCGCCTTAAGAAGAAAATGTACAACTTATTGATCTGCTCTCCCTTACCGACTAGATGTTGGAAATACTAAGATTTTAATTTTTTCATTCAATATTTGTAAGAAAAAATATCATGATCGTAATGATGAACTTTGTGCCACTTTAATTTATTTAAGTTTCGACGCTGTGTACACAAATATATATGTTACATCAATGTGTATTTACGGTCCACGCATCCACGATTTGCCGCGCTGAAATATAATAGATGTGTTTGTGTTTGCGATGTGTGCGCGGACGTGTATTCTGTTAAAGAGAGAGGGTTGTAAGAAGGGGAAACGAAGACAGAATAATATCAACATCGCTAGGTGCCGCTACAGTTGGCGTCCTATCTCTATTTCTTTTCCTCATCGTTCCATCCTTGTTCATACCTGTAAAGTATAAACCGGTGTTAGTCTAAAGAAAATTAATACACGTACAGTTTGGTTTCAACTACTCTAAATATTCAGTTTTTAAATGCTTCTTTTTTGAATTCTTACGAAAATACATACTTGACCTTGTATTTTTTTTAAATAAAAAATATTGTTATGTTTAGATTATATTGAAAGTTGTACTTCAAAATATTTACAAAAATGATATTTTTCTGTTCAGGGATACCAAAGTTGCATCCACTCCAGAAAAGAAGGTTGTAGAAGAAGAAAAGAAACCTATTCAGGAAGTTGATGAAGATTCAAAGACATCAGAGAATGGAGAAGCAAAGGAAACCAAAGAAAATGGTGCAAATGAAGAGAAAGAGTTAAATGATAAGGAACCAGAATCAACAGAAAATGGTGATTCTACAGGTATTGCACAAATAATAACTATGTAAGGTAAAATAACTAAAACTGTTGAAATATATATATAATTAAATAAGACGTTTTTAAATGTAACAATGTTTTTTGTAATTAGAATACTTAATAATTTTAGAATAAAAAGAAATTTAAGTATTGCACGGATATTGATAAGCATTATATTTTATACAGATGCTCCTGTTGACAACTGTTGTATAAAGAGGAAGTCTACAGCTTTAAGTGATACAACAGAAGATACTGCAACTGATGTTGCAAGTCCTGAAAAAAAAAAGAAACTGGACGAAAAGTGTGCTGAAACAGAAAGCAATGGAGAAGCAGAAACCACGGCCTAATATTTTTTATGTTCACTGCAGACTTAATCCATAGATGCAATTTTAACAGTTAACTGTGAAATCAAAACAGTCAAAATTTGTTCTCACTGCATCCTCAAGACAAACGGGCATAAAAAACAAGAACCTGAATTATGTGTTAATGACTCTGTGTTCAGATATTTGTGTGTTTATTACAACCATTTTTGTGAGTCTAATTGGCTATAGCATTGCATACATCCATAGCATCATCATACATTTCTATCTTAAATTACCACCATTAATGTTTCCTGTTTTCCATACTGGCGTCTATATACGGATATTCACCTAGTATTAGATTTTCAAAGGAAGGGAGATATAAATAATACTAGTAATAATATATTTCTGATTCATGAAGATAGATGATGGCGTGGTGCTTGAGAAAGATATGGAAAATATTCCGTACAGAGTTCTCATTATTTCTAATGCACGGACATGCATATACATAGACACTTCATATCAGAGATTGAAGAAACAATATTTTTCTGCAAATCAAAATACATTCCTGAAAGAAACACAGTTTGCCCAAGGATTGTTAATATTTACTGGCAAAAATTAGAAAACCAATTATATTTGTAAATCCTGATACCAAATACATCTGTTTCACTATACATAAGTATATGACTTTATGTACAATTTAACTTTCAACAAAGTAAAAAAGAATAGACGAATTGCTATGTATTTTGGTGCATTAATATTAACGTAATATATAACTTAAATGGTTTACATTTAAAATAAGTCAACAGAACAAACCTATTCTTTAATCAAATTTATATAATGTTTTTTAGTAATTCTTTTACTGCAATAGTATATAATAAAATCTAGAATTAACTTTTATTGAAATACTTGACAATATATAATAATTTGTATTACTCTGTATAGAAATGTTGGTGAGTAGAATCGTTTAATATTCAATTTTGAGGTACCAGCAATAAAAAATGCTGCATTGATAATTTCAGTGAAAAGTTGCATATCAATGCCTTGAAATTTACATGTGATTAAAGTACAGCAATTTTATATGGTTGTAAAAAATATGAAATGTAGAAGATTAAATTCAAATATAATGTATATCACTCTAATATTAATAATGTGTTTAACATTTCACGTACAATCGCTACTATATTATTAAAATTTAAAAAAATTTTAGTACAAATTATTTTCGTACAATTAAAATTGTCGTGTAATATTATTTCTTATAATAAATACTATCTACGATTTAATAACAAGTGTAAAAAAATATTGAAACATCCAATAATGTAGTAACTTTGATTTAAGAAACATATTGCAGTGATTCCTTGATGAATGTGACACGAGCAATGGCGGTTTTCCCTCCACTAGGGAGTCCCCCTTTGGAATCTATCAAAAGTGTGGAGTACACAGAACATAAGCAGAGGCTCGGCTTCGGATAAAAAAACAAATTTATGAGGGACTGAAAATTTACCCGCCTTACCTTGAATGCTCCGAAGCGACCCGAGTACATCGCACTCATCGAGACATTACTGTAATATCATTATGTTATGCATTTGTTTCACATAAAAATTGAAAAACAGGTACAAAAGAATTCATGCACTTTATAGCAATTGATTTTGAAAAAATATATAAGCTTAAGTTATATTCTAACGCGATATGTAAACATGGTCCTTAAGAAACACAGTACAAAATTTCACATAAAAATCTATAATATTTTAGACTTAGAATCTATAGATTTGTCACTTATAATGCACGTAAGAATACTAAAAATCAACAATTTGATTTGTATTATATGTTTCTAGTCTTGAAATACAAACTACCTACTTGACTGAATGAAATATAAAACTGCTATGAAATGCAAACGAAAAAGAAGAATTCGCTGATATGATGTAAAATTGAGACTTCTGATTCATGGAATTCAAACGAATAAATCTATTTTAAAATGTTTCTTACGAGAGCGTTGTGATGCCTAAAGTGATTAAACTTTGACACTTACTTTCATTGTTATTAATATAATGATTTCGCACGCAATACATGCCTATGTATTACGCAATGTTTCGTACATTTAAATTGTGTAATTTCTTAGTTTTTCAATTGAAATGTTTGTGATTAAGTAACATATATCGAAACCAAACTTTTTGTCACTGCATTATTTGTACAATTATACAAAATGAGTACAAAACCGATTTTCTTAAAACCCGGTAAGTTAATTTCTCTAAATCTTCATAAACTGTAGTGTTGATTGTTACGACAACATATCTTTTACTTTTAAATAATTTTAAGTATTCTGTATAATTATATGATGTTATATATTATAAATAAGGTATAGTTTTAGAAGGTGTGGTATAAAATAATGTAGAACGTAACCTAGTAGACATTTAATTTACACTGTTTTTGAGTGATTTACATTTTGCACAGGCATTCTGTTGAGAGAAAATTTATACTTCTTTAATAATTGTTACAGGAGATAGCATGTGGCAGGAGGATAAACCTGATATAGAAGCACATTCATCTACACAATTTGTATACAATGCGCATCATTCACTTGCACTCCATATGCAACGACAACGATTACCTACCTTCAAATACAAAAGTCACATCATTTATCTATTAGAAAAGTATCAAACATTAGTTTTAATTGGAGAAACTGGATGTGGAAAGAGTACACAACTTCCTCAGGTAAGTAAAGGATTAGATGTATTAAATGATCAGATTGAACTATCAGAATTGAATCAATAAATATTCTTTTACATGAAATTCATGTAGTTATAAATCTTAAAAAGAATATAGTCAGATAAAGATAATTTGAAATACATTTTGATTTCCAATACTTAAGCCGTAAGATTAATATAATTTACTTTTAAATTAAATACACTTCAGATATCATTGAATTTGCTCAGCCTTTTATTTTTAATCTGTGAAACTAGTTAAAGTACACTTTATATTGTTTGCATTTGCGTAATAAATTTTTATACAATGTTAAACCTGGTATGTTCATGGTAAGAGTATCTAAAAATTTTGAATTGCCTAAACAAAATGGAACGAAAACATTTACACATAAAATTAATTAGTTTTCAGTTGGCAATAAATTACAATAATTCAGAGTTTTTTAATATTTTTTATTCAGAAAGTTGAAAAAATATATTTATTCTTATTATTATAGAGGAACTCAATACAAATCCAACAATAACAATAATGTCACTTTTTGTAATACATGTTAAAAAGAATGGGAAATATTTTAAAGGTAAATGTAAACAATAGATGAACGATATGTATGAATAGTACAATCTTCTCAATATGTTACTGCTACAAACAAGGTATACGATAGACCAATTACGTAAGTTATTTCCGCGTCAGTATCGATGGGGGCTCCGGAAGCCCTTGTACTTACCATTTTACCGTCACATCCAATGTAACCGACAATTACAAATTTTAGGCATTGTTAACAAAAGTAAGCTATTCTATACGTTTCATTGATTGTACCTATGCCAAATGTGACTTGGCGGGAATAATTGCCTGCATTTTCACAAATATTTAAGCAATAACTTCAGTTTTTACGAAATACATTTTTCTGTTTTTAAAACAAATTTCATATAATTTCCATTGTGTTTGTGATTTGTTTCAAGCTCTTCAACTGTTATAATGTAAGAGGAATAAATGACACAATTTTAATTTTAAAATATGATTTCATTTTTCAATAAAAAAAATTGCAAATTTTTATTATGTATAAATTTTTCCTATTACTATTATAAGCTTACAAAACCCTAGATAACCGTCATGATGAGCATTGAGCACCCTATAGTGTGCACGCGCACGCGCACATATAGACATTTTATGACTATACGTTGTGCCATTTTATGATTCTATTATATCGAAAACAAGTTTTGCCAGTATTACACCGCCTGCTTAAAGAATAGTACGTGTCTCAACAATTTTCCTATCATTGTGACTTCCATAAAATTATACAGAATAATTTAATACTTTGGCTATATTACGTAAATGAGAACAAACACGATATTACTGTTGTTATAATTAATTATTTCATTATTAAACGTACAAAAGAAATTATGTGACAACAGTGCGACCAAATTTTTACGACATAAGAAAATTTTATATTATTTGAATTAGATTAGATTACAGATGTAAGGAACAATCAAGAATATTATTTAAACGAACTATGTAATTATTATACGTTCACCAACATGGTATATATTAACTGATCAAAGTAGTCAGTCGGAATCTGCAAGATCCCGTGTAAGCATGTGGAGTCGCGTCACGTCATATCTGTAAGAATCGGAGCAATTTACGCTATAGAGTGAAGTATTACTAACTACATTGATTGTATCAATATACTGGAAAATGTGACGACAATATATATATTATATGATATTGAATAACTAAAAATAGTTATGAGTGAGTCTTATAATAAGTTCAAAGGTTGATGACTTTAACTGTGATAAACGGTCATTATATCAAACAATTGATAATGCAGTAATGTCATTGTTTTTTGGTAATGATGAATGAAAAAAAAAATACATTCCCTACTTTTTCTTAATTCATCAAATAAAAATCTACCGAAAAACATAAATATTACAATATTAAATATATTCAAGTGGTGAAAGCCTTGCTAAATAATTAGCAAGAATGTAAATCTACATTATCCTTATGACACATATACTGCATTTACAGCCATTGTGAAGGAAGAATATATATGGTACCATAAAATGCAAAACATAACATGGATTTGTGATTAAAATAAGTTTTGCAGCATACAGTGCCAAAGTAATGTACAAAATGTTTGGTACAACAACTATAGTAAGCAAGTCCTTCCTAACAATTTTGATATTACTGACATTGTATGTCTTTGGAATGGATCTTCTGCTATACTCTAGAATACAAAATTATGATGTAAGACCAATACCAAATGGTACACAGTATGTTTCAATCATACCTTGTGATATTAATCCATTATGTACGGTAACAGTTAAGGGATTAATGCTAGATCATCCAAATTACTTTCTCTTAAGTCCTCTTGCAGCAATCATGGATAATCTACTACAGATAAGCAATTCTTGGACATGGGTTACACCAAGTGCAATCAGTTGTTTTCACGTAATAGTAGCAGTAATAGCTGGTAAATGTGTTTCCAGTGACTCATTGTCTCATAGACGCTTAGGTGTAATACTTTTTCAAGCAAGAACATGGTTGGATGATCTAGATGGACATGTTGCTAGAAAAAGAGCAAATATTGATGGTGAACGTTCAGATGTTTGTTCGTCTGGCTACATTGTTGATGGTGTTTGTGATGCTTTGGGCTGTGTGGCTTTACTTGTTGGCCTATATCAATTTCTTGTCCGTAATTCAAGCCGACGCGGAGGATACGATAAACTACCGCAACTACCTGTCTCTTCAGTTCTTGACACTGGAAATGTAACATCAAAATCTTCAAACACAGCACTACGTAATATATTACTGATGACCCTGCATTTATTCCTGATCAGTGCTGCCTGGAATCGATATATATCTTTATACCAAGATCTACTTGAGACTGATAATAGAACACCATCGATTACTAGAGAACACCTTTACGTCAGACAGACAACTATATTCAGAAGTTCGTCATTTTGGATAATTATTCTATGCTGGAAATTTGTTAATTTTCATGCTGTTATGGATTATCTGCTTTTGGCAATATTCTTTGATCGTGTAAGAGAGTATATCATCAGACTTGTAAGATGGGCTTCATATGTACTTGTCCTGTTCCTTGTGTATGTAACTGAATTTCATTTTCTACGTGCCTATGCATTTGTACAAGGTGTACCGTCGTTTATCGATGAAGAGGTATCTTCGTCAGATGTTTTCACTCAAAGATGACAATATGAATCCTGGGAAAGCATACTTCCTATATTTATTAATCATCGGTGATATATGATGACCACATTAGCTCTTTTACATTGAAAATTACAAAACCGTTTGTCTACAGAAATAATATTTCAACAAAATTTTTTGTATCTTATATTTTTCTCCATGTATTTTGTATAAATAGTAGACTGATATATGAGAAAATATACATGAGCCCTTAAATGCTGAATTAATATAATATTTATATATGTAGTATTAACATATTATTGTTGCTGCTACAATTCATTGGTTAGGGAAGTTAAAAGTTCAGCTAGGCTTATCTTGCCTATTGCTATTGTCAAGCAGTATACATGAAATTGTAATATTCATTCAGATTGCCGAGTATTCAATGTCAAACCATGCCCTTTTTATTCATTCTCTATCTCTTTTAACTACTCGATGCAATTACTGCACATGTGTCTATATGTTTTACTTTTGGGGTAGTTAATATTGCATAGATAATTAATTGAATGTCAATTCATTTATGCGGTTAATGTGTAAGTTTAAAATAACAATACATACTGGTGGAAGATCTTTCATACTCATTAATTCTTACATACTTAATTTTTTTTTCTCTTCACGTGTTTCTTACATTTGTAATTCAACATAAGATTCAACATAAGATTCATTTTTCGATTCAATCATTTAATTAAATTATAGTATATAAATTGTATGTATATACATGGGCTAAGTAATGTATGGTGATATGTGATAATTAGACTGCAGATTTTATGCATTTGTAATATATGAGTTTGTCTAAAACTCAATATACATATAGTGAAATATTTAATAGACATTTTATGTGACTTATTATAGCATATAAATAAATATATGTGACTATATTTTCAATATAGTGTAATATTTAACAGTTTTTGTGATTTAGATTTTGAAAACAAATTTTCATTCAATTCCAATCTCGATAAATTAGTCGATAAGTAATCTACATCTGCATAAACCTCCGCAGTCTAATGCTAATTCTGATTGTTAAATGCGCGATGATACAATTTTGTATTGTTTACATAAAATAATTAACGACCTCTTGTCTCCTGTATAATGTAAATGTGATCCCATCATCACGAGTTACCCAGTTTGTAACACTTGTAAGTTTGCCGAGGTCACATAGTAGGGTTTTAACATACCTGAACCGTTGTAACGGGCTTTTATAATGAAATCCGATATAAATATGACACTAAACCACGAAGACGTAATACATGTAATTTCCTACCGTTACCCGATTATCCACGCCAAGATTAAAACTAACAGAGAGGTTCGATAGCGTTAGAGCATCACGTTGAACTTGAAAATGCATTTGACCAGTGTACCAATCGTGTTTGTGGGAAATATAATCTATACTTATCTAACATACGCACATTATCAATTCAGTTGTCCTCGCCCCGATGTAGCTTACAGTCGTAGTCGCACTAGTACTTGATATTATGACCACGATGTCACGATCGCACCTGAACAATGTTTCTACTAATTTTGCGCCTTGAAGCGGGATATTCTTTATCAACCACCATTTACAACTTCTAGGAAACGTGTCAGGTTTATTGCGATAGCTGATAAAAGAAACAGACGGACCATTGTTAGTAACGAATCATTGGTCAAAACTCTTCAACGATAAAACTTTCGAAATTTGAAATTACGATTTTTTATTCCACTTTTTATACGTTTATAGAAATTCTAAACACTATTATTATTTCGTATTATTGTCTTTAATTTGAGTACTATTATTATATCGTATTATTATTATTATTTCGTCTCCTTTTTTCACTGTTAGTAAATTGTATGTAGTTACTCAGCAATTCACGACGACGTGGAATCTACAATTCATCCAATCAATTATCCCACCTTTCCCTTAATGTCGCGATACGAATTGTATGTTCTTAAAAATAGCCCGATTTATGTATGTCGGGTTTCGACTTATTTTCATCAGGAGAATCTCCTAAATTTATTTATAACATTTTTAAGAACGTACACTGAAAGGAGTAAAAGTGTACATTTTTATTCATGGGGGATTCGTTCTGTTTGTTACATTGTAACCGGAGTCGCCCGACTGGCCCTGGCCGGTTCCAGCCGTTCTGCTCGCGAGCGGCTCGGTAGCTCGGTTACCCATCACGAGTCGTGAAACGTAAGCCGCCGCGGCGCGCCGGGCAAAAAATTAAGTGCTTGACAAGTTCCACGGCCCCCTTCCCCAGTGATGGGGATGACGATGTAGGATTTATCGAGTCGTTTTCGTGTTGCATTCAACGCGGGATTACTGAATTATTATAATACGAATTCTTATATACTGGGGAACACTGAATTATTAAAACACGAACGTTAACACGAAATGTAGCTAATCAGAGATTTCAGTCTTTCACGGACTACGGTCGTGCAGTTATTACCAGACTGCGAACGCTTATGCAAACATAGATTTTTGTGGATCACCTAGTATATAAAAACCAGAATCAAACAGCTTTTATCAGGATTCTTATATAACACTGTGTTAAACTAAGTTTTGGACGGATCGTTCATCGTATACTTAAATATGTATGTAAAGTCTACCGTTTGGTTACTACTGTTAAAGCCGTATCCCGTTGAAAAAATGATTCGACCGTCTCAAGTTGACATTTTTAACGGATGCTATGCATATCAATATTAGTGTGTCACTTGATTCCTAATGAAGCTAATTGTAAAACGTTGAATTAATATTTCCAAAAGGACGAGGCTTGTACTTACAATTAGAAGCCTCAACGGCAGTAAGTGTATTTAAAAATAACTGATTAACCCTTAGACGGCGGTGCCTGGTTCCGTTTGGTCTTGAGTTCTTATAAGCTCAATCTAAATCATCAACTTACAAATCAAATTTAAACTAGGAGTTATTCAGACTAGGTTGTATAAAAAGGCAGTTCTTTATGAATAATTATCATTGAAAATATGTTTACCAAGAAAACTGTTCGTAGGAACATTAATTACTTATTCTACCGTGGAAAATGAATAATCATTTCGATAAATTCTACAGTTTATAATACATAATTATTCTAATTAACTTTATATTCGTTGGTTGTATTATTATTAGCGATAAAATTTCCAACTTTCCCTGTCAACTTTATTTGTGTGTTGTTCAGTCACGAAGGTGCTCATTAATATTAGAAATGATTTTACAACATAATAAAAGAACCCAAGAAATAACGTATTAACTTTTCATTAACATTTTGTAAAAATGTAAATTTATCTACGGTAAAAGGCGAATGAGTAAATAAAAAAACCTTGATAAGTTTAATTTAACCCCCTGATGAATTTTTAAAGATTTCGGAAAGTCCGCTAATCCTAGGAGAACGCTGTATTCGCCTATTTTTCAACAATTCATATAACTCAGAAACAAAGTCTCGAATGCAATTTTACCGTCATCTATTCTCTCTTTTTTTTTATGTACAATAATTTAATATTCAATAAATGCGTCAAAATTTACCGTTACTTCATAAAATGATTACAGTATCTTCTTGAAGCAGGATGGTGCGCAGACGGTAAAATGATCGGTATCACCGAACCAAGAAGGGTTGCAGCAACCTCTCTGGCTAATCGTGTGGCTGATGAACGGAACTGTGTGTTGGGCACAGAAGTCGGATATTCTATACGTTTCGACAATAGTACGGACGAAACGACGAGAATAAAGGTAACATATGATAATCAAGAAACAATCACAAAAGCTTTTGAATTACATATTGGGTAGTTTGGAAAGTTCGTAGCGTTTCTAAGGACGGAATTACAATCTGTGTATATTTTTCAATTTATATCATATTCTTATTTACTATTTCTTTTTGTTTTTCACAATTTCCGTCTAGTTTCCAGTTACAACTTACATACAGCTATATATAACTTCAGTTGTTTTAGCTAAACAGACTCCTCAGCCTACTTCTAAGTAGGCTTTGTTATCGAAGCTTACATAATACAAAATATTCTAGCAATCTAACGGAATAATCATATGACGGGGCATAGGTTAATTAATTGGGTAGATGTTATAAAATTTTCCAGTCCAGGTAAGTGTAATTTCCTTTGTACGAGTTTGATCGAACGCGATGAAAAAGGATTTGGAGGTTGTTCATACGTTTCGTCGGTATTGCTCACAGAAGAAAACAAAAAAGCAACAATTACACTTGTACAGCAAATACATATGTACATTCAATCCACACCTGGTAAACAGTTGTGACTGTTCACCATATAAAATTCGTTTTTTTTCCTTCGGTCAGCAAAAATGTAACGGAGGCACTGTGCTCCAAACACTACAAACTTTCCGAACGACCTAATGAAAATATTACATGTTTAATTTAAAGGATTTTAATTTATATAAAGTACATGTTAGCTCCCATATACATATATGAATATATCTGTATACTCTCAGCTCTTTTATCTCCGGATATGTTGCGGGCTTTTTATTTCCTAGTCTTCATATCGCACTAACCGCTAATCACTGGCCAGTCATAGGAAATGCAAAATAAAACTACCTACTATAAATGCTTTATTTCAATAATTACGTATTATAATTTAGTCTTTTTTTTTATCAGCAATTTGAAATATCGGTACGAATATAATGTGAAAATTGGAATATGACGTGAAGATTAATATGGACCCAATGCGAAAATTAACCAGAGTTTTCTTGCTAGAAAAAGTACCGCAGTTCTATTATTTTCGATTTTTATAAGTTTATTCTAACAAAAAATGATAGCTACAAGCGTATTAAATACTAATCCATGTATCTAGAAATCTAGGTGGACTGAATAGGAGACAATTGCGTCCACTGTTTGTACGGAAGGTGTCATTTAAATCGATCTCCTGCGAATATCTTCGAAATGGTCGATGATACCGAAAAATATTACAGATAAAAGTTGAATGGTTTCGAGGGTCAAATAATTCGATGGAAGTGGTGTTTTTGTAGATGAACGCGTAGAGGGCATATTAAGAACAACTTTATTTTTTTAGACGGAGGCATATATTTGTTAACGGATTAATCGATGCAGCTCGCCATTCCCTATAAAAAAAGGTACAAAGCTATTTATGTCGAAAAACTATTAGTTTAGGAGATATTTTTACATAGAGATCTAATATTTAATATTCGTATGGATAGTATGTTAAGAAATTTCGTGAGAAATGCTAGAAGGGGTTGATAGATCATTTAGAAACCGTGAAGGCTGAAGGGCGCAGTTCTGAAAATTAACGAATTAAGGTAGTACACACGTTTGGTGTCGTATCTAGCTGGGGCTCCATATGGCGCTTCACACTTTTGATCAATTTTACCAATTTAATTTGAATAATTAATATTTTAAACTACTTGAAAATACTGAAATGGAAATAAATTTACAAACAACTGGGAAAAACAAAAATTTGTTTTCCTTATTGTAACAGAATTTAATTTTCTTTTAATTTTTAAGAAAAAATTGGAAAGTTTGTCGAACAAACCAAAAGAAAACAAGCGACGTTGATGTTCGTAACAGACATGCGTAGAAGATACTACCAGACGCATTGAAACCTAAGTTTGCATATATTGATCTTAATTTTTAGTTTTATTTGACCGTTAACACATCTTTTTTCCGTGCCATCATAATCTCTGTAAAAAAATCTATAACCACCTACTTTTTTTACTGAAAATGTCATTTTGTGTAACTAAATAAGCAGTGATTAACTTCTACGCATCAGCTACAATTCCACAAGGTTCGTGTTAAAAAGAATTTTTGATGTTTCTTTTTCAATAATTTTATCGTCGACCTTGCGATTTTTTGGTAGAAATCGAACGTTGAAGGTTTTAAGAATGTTCTGTTAAATTTTCCACTAAAGAGTATAGCAGGATAAGGGGGTCAAAAGTCCCCTTAGACCGATTTGGACTTGTAATGTACCATTCGAAAGCTTGTCAAGAAAAAACAGTTTGTGTCAAGTCTCAACCCTCCATCTGGACCAGGAGGGTAGTAATAGGAGAAATTCGGATTATTTTCCTCTATTTTCGTTGTTTAATGACGCGCAAAAATTATGTAAAAAATGTAATAGATAGTATTTATCGAGGCGCGTGTTGAAGACTTTTTTTGCGATGTTTTAGTTGAGTATCCTAGTTGTGGAAAATTCAAAATAGTTTTTTCTTATTGAAGTTTTAACGGCACTACATTTATCTTTTCACAGTAGCTACAGATTATCATAAGTAGTATCTTCAATTTTTTTGTGATTTTTGGGTAGGGTGCGCCGTAATTTAAAAAATCAAAAAACGATTGTTTCTGTGAAAAAGTAACTTGTACTTTGAATTTTTGTATTTCCTTTATTAAATAAGTGTATTATATTATTTCACGTGTTTCTACATTCAGCAAAATAATATATAAACTAAGAAAATTAAATTAACACAACTGCCTGACAGTATATTATATCCCTTATACATATATGAAAATATTTATTCATACATCCACGGCCTCTGATGGCGCAGCAGCTAAGTGCCCGATTGCGAAATCGTTGTAAATTCGACCGTGGGATGGAGCACCGCCTGGACTCATTTTTTTTTTATTACATTAATTATATTTCTTTTACTTTCTAACTAAATGACAATGACCAGTATTTATTTACAAGCACTTTAAAAATAGTTTAGAATATTTTTATTCTAAAATATGTATGAAAATAATTTTGGAATAGTTTTCATCGCATCGTTTCTTTAGCTATATATATTTTCCTTCCTCCAACACGTACCTCGATAAATACTGTCTATCACATTTTTTACAGATTTTTTGCGTGTCATTAAACAAGGAAAATAGAGGAAAAACCGATAATCCGAATTTTTCCTATTACTACCCTCCTGGTCGAGATAGAGGGTTGACACTTGGCACAAACTGTTTTTTCTTGACAAGCTATCGAATGGTATATTACAAGTCCAAATCGGTCTAAGGGTACTTTTGGCTCCCTTATCCTACTATACCCTTTATAATTATTAAAAATTTGCGTGAGCCACCTTAAGAAGGTAAACAGTTAGAGTAAAATAGCCAAATATGAGACCAATTTTTTTAAACACGCATAATTCTCGATTGAACATAGTTTTATTGAAGTACGATACATGTTTTAAATGTAAGATCTGTACACTTTTACAACATATTAGAAATTATAACAAAACAAATAGAGTTCCATCATAATAAATTAAAAAGGAAAGGATGCAAAAACTGGTCGCCTAATATGAGACCCAGGTTTCTTGTCGTTAAAACTTATTTTTTCTGTCTTTTTTTCACACATTGGGCATGTCAAATTAATTGCGTCTGCACCGCAGTCTTCGTGGGCCCACCGGTAACATTTGGTACACTGAACCCATTGTTCACCATGTACATCTGAAGAATAAAATCCTGTATAAAACAAGCATTCTGCATCATAATTTTCTTCATCAGCACTTTCATCGTTCAGAATAATGTCTTCTTCACACTTATCAGTTGAACTATCACTTTTTAGTTTACGCATCTCTTTGTAGTGCATTTCTTTAAATTTTTTGCGATGTTCAAGACTTCTCCGTAACGGAGATAGGCTGGAGTCTAATATTAGGCTACTTTACCCTACTGGTACCACATCGCGATATTGAAATTAAAATATCTCCTAAACTAATGGTTTTTCGGCACAAATAGCTGAATACTTTTTTATAAAGAACGACGAGCTGCATCAACTGATACATTAAATAATATACGATCCCATTTGAAAAAACAAATTTAACCCTCATATGTCCTCTACGCGTGCACCTACAAAAAAATTGCTCGCATCAAATTATTTCCCTCTCGAAACCGTTCATCTTTCATCTGAAACATTTTTTGGTATCGTAAACAGTTTCAAAAATATTCGCGGGGGATCGATTTAAATGTCTCACCCTGTATAATGCCATTTTCGACAGACCACCGGTGATTCGTTAATAATGTGCGTATTACTTAAGTAAAATAATTCTGCACGACCATTTGTTTGTGAAAAATAATCCGATTTATTCATCATTTTTTCAATGTGAAATCCGAGATCCAATGTGTGCAGTTTGATCTGTGACGATTTGTGCTACTAAATCCTTTGCGGATGAAATATTCATTACATGTTGATAGTATTTTCCCATTATTTTCGATTATACATATAGAACACTTACGGTACTACTAACAAATATTTGGACACTTGCTTATTTTCGACAGAGCTTATGATTTCACCTACATGATTTCAGTCATAGACGGAAAGATCTTGCAGTGATTTTATTTTCTTGTTATTATTATAGCTCTGTACCTAAAGTAAGATATAACAACACGATAAATTTGTTTTTTTGCGTATAAATAAATCAATTGACGGATATACAACAACAGAACTTGAGTCCGTAAGCCTTGTCGTTCGTGAAATGTATTTTATCTTCCATTCAATTTCCTATGCTATGGGTCAGTTAAAAACAGTTCTTCTGTACATAACATTAACTTAATTTGTTCTAAAAGCGGCGGGTACAATATTGAAAAATCATGCGTTTCACTTCGGACAGGCTACCGGTTAAATTTTTTGTTCGAATATATAATTTGAATTTCTAAACTGTGCACGTCATTGGACAGTTATAAAGATTGTTTTTAATGAGTAATCTATGCATTTCCGTGTCATTTACGTGCTGGTACTAAAAATCTACCAAGTATCCGGATACTTTTGACCGGTAGCGTACACGTTGAGAATAGATCGTTCCATACGTAATATCGTTTCTTACCTAACGTTAAATAATAAAAAAAAATTTACAATTCCTACGACAAAATAACCAAAAATGATCGACAACGAATAATAAGCACAGAGGGGAATGGTTAATAACTGTTACGATTAAAAGTACTCGTGGGTATTAATTTTGTTAAACTTCAATGATGTTTAACTTTATGTAAAACGAGTGTTTGATATGTGAGCTAAACGTATAGTAAAAATTCCAAAATAAGATTCAAGGCAAAATGATCCCTGATCGTTCATTATATCGACAGTACATGACGGAAGGAATTCTGCTACGCGAATTAATGGCCGATCCCTTGTTGACCAGTTATTCCGTCATCGTTATAGACGAAGTACACGAAAGGACACTTCTCACCGACATCATCATGGGACTCTTAAAGAAAATTATTCGGGTAAATTAGTTGTCGGAGTGTTTTCTTATAATTATTATTTAGGGTAAATGCACCAATAAATGAACGCTTGACAGATTTTGTAACTTATTAAAGTCGAACGTTAAATGATGTTAATATTAATAAATATTTGGCACATGAAAATTAGATTTTTTAATATCTATAAAATATACCTTTCTTTAACGTGTAGATTTCAATTTCAATAACTGACAAAATGTAATTAACTAAATTAAAAGGAAAAAACATTTTTCGCCAATGAATGAACAATCATAATTAAATGGACATTTCTATCCATTGGCGCGAAAATTGTTTGTATACATATAAAGCAAGCAATTGAAAAAAATCAATATTCAATCATTTTAATAATTTATTCGGTTTTATATACCTGGACCCCAGAGCCAGAGTGTATTAAGTCCACTTTTTAGAAAAACGACATTTTACACGTTGTCTGTATCAAATATTTCACTCCTTCCTGTGATAAAAATTATTTCGTTCCAAGTCGTCTAGTTTTCAATATAGGTACATAATAGTCTAAAAATGATATTAAGTTCATATTTATAAAATAGTGTAAAGTTCATCACATAAAGCAATTAACCTCTTGCCTTACGATTTACTTTCAAAGAAACATGCGTGTGCAGACAATTTAATTTAGCGCAACTCTGTGTGCGGAGTTATCATTAAACGCCGAGCACCGTTCTCTACAATAAGACAATGTTAGATAGAAAAGAACGAAAGAGAATGTGTAAATATCATAGTAATTTTTTTTACAAGTTAGAAGAAATTTATATAGTTTTAAAACATTAAAATATGCGGCTGGCGTCGCTCGTCAAAGCAGGAATTTCTACCGAAACGTAAATACCGGTATTTTCGGTTGAACCGTCGCCCTATGTAACCCTATACATATGTATAAGCCCTACCCTTACAGAGAAACCGAACAAATACCGGTATTTATTTTAGTTTTCGGTAATATATCGGTTTCGGTATAGCTTTGATGGCATAATACCGGTTTGAGTTCCTGCGTCAAAGTCGAGTTTGGCATAGAAAATGCATGCGGGCGAAACTCGCCATTTCTACTTAAGAGGTTAATGCAAAGTTCACCATTTCTACATATAGAGACTTGTCTTAGATACATTCAATAACACTGGTCAACATGATTTTTGTTCCAAGAAACATTTTTTGAATCTTATAGATTTTTTTTATACTGAATACGAATCCGTAAACAGTTTTTTGTCATCACCCTCAGTTTACGAGAAATTTGATTTAAAAAAAAATACAAATTTTCAACTTTGAATATTTCCTCTGTTCAAACATTAATAGTTATTCAGTTGATTGTTGCGTCAAATTATTCTGTAAACTGTCGCTTGCCTGTTGCTCGGTTGCCGCCTTTGAGTACCACTGCCAGCGACCCAGATTTTACTAAACTATTTCGCTTCTGTATTGAACACAAAACGTGTCTTATCATTTCTGTTAATGCTTTTCGGAAGAAACATGTTTACTGTATCTGCTGACGCAGTCAGATTATGTCCTTTTCCCTTTGATCGTTGTTCAAACATGTTCAAATGTTGATAATGCGATAACAACAAATACCATTTTATTCGGGAGAGTTTACAGAATAATTTGACGCAACAATAAACCGAATAACTATTAATGTTTCAACACAGGAAATGTTCAAAGTTGAAAATGTGCATTTTTTTTTAAAATCAAATTTCTCGAAAACTGAGGGTGATGACAAAAAACTGTTTACGGATTCGTACTCAGCACAGAAGAATTTATAAGAATCAGCAACTGGATGTTCGAAAACAAACAAAAAGTTCAATTTTGTTGACCAGTGTAATTCGAAGGTAGCGATTGTTTTTCGCTCAATTCTTACCGAACGGTATCATAGTTACAAGGTTTTACTCTCCTCTAAAGTATGAAAAGTGTGACTTGATACACTCTCGCTCTGAGGTCCAGATATAATGTTTATTTACTGGTACACGTGTTCATTTACTGGTGCATCTATCTCACCATGAAACTATTCCATTAAATGTGCCTAACTTTTGCCGGGGGCGAAATTTTTTTGTAGAAACGCAGGAGCCTAAAAATCGTTGTTTGCTCCGCTACCGTTGACGCGGAACAACTTCGAGACTTCTTTAATACGAACACTACGAAAGACGGAACCAAAGACACCGCGGTCATACTGACCGTCGAGGGTCGTCTATATCCGGTCGACATTTTGTTCGTGAAAGGTATTTATGTATTTGTGTGCACGCAACGGAGGACAAAATGTATTTCTATAGTGAGAATAACTTTTGAGTTGAAGAATAACCATCGTCTTGATTCTTTCAAATGAAATGTCACATTTTTCAGTTCTTTAATTATTCTTTATTATAGCACGCAAACATCGTCTCGATATTCGTTAGCTATTTAGAGATTCAAAGAGTTAATATTTTATTACGAAGAATATTGTTGTGGAAATGATAATTTCAAATGGCAATTTAATTTTGTGAAATATTTTGCGTATATAGTATCTCGTAAACCGCAATTAAATAAATTCTTTAATATAGTGTTAACACTATTTATGTATGTATTATAATTGCCGTTGTAAATACCCTTGTAGAGGATTTAAAGTTATGCCCAAATTTAATTTTTCCGAATTAGTATTTAAAACTATAAATTTTACATAAACTTTAGCGGTCTAATTACACTGTTCAACAAATTTTAACTTTTTACCGTTTTTGTAACCTCCAATAGACGTTTCTGATAGATCTTTATGAACTGAATACGAATCTGCAAACTGTTTCTTTCCAGCACGTTTAATTTTTTTGGAAATTGCAAATTTTCATTTTTGGAGCTGTGATTTTATATCTTTCATTAACACCATCGTTAGTAGAAAGGTCTGTTTCATCGCGTGGTTAGATTTTCTCCTAGACGTTTAGTTTTTGAAATAAATTGAAGAATATCAGCAAAACCTGGTGCTTTTTCGGTGTCCTTTTCACTTTGAACGTAATTTAAACATATTAAGATGTGAATAATATAATAACAATTTATATCATTCTGTTCGGGAGAGTTCAAATTATTTCGTGTCAAATGAAACTGAATAACTATTACTGTAAAAGCATCACACAGCTCCAAAGATGACAATTTGCAAAAACTGGCCGTGTTGGAAAGAAACGCTTCTGAATCGTTATGAAGTATTTTCGTGTTGAGCAGTGTTATTATACGGGGTGTCTAATTTAACTAGACCCGGTGGAATATCGTGTAAGGAACTGAAGGTATCAAAAAAGAATGTTCTTACAGAAGTTGTTCGGTACGAAAGGAAACATAATGTGGTGTAAATAATTTTTTTGTTGGTAAAGTAGTGGGGAAGATTTCAAGGCTAATTTTTTTTAAATAGAATGTTACATTTTATTATTCATAATGTGATAACGTTCGTTGAGACGAGTTTAACGATGTTTCACATAAGGTGATCCAGTGTGGTAGGAGGTCGTAAATTAGTGAAATTCGAACGAGTCTGTGTAACGTGATCGCAGCTTGTGTTTGTGCGCTACCAAACGAGAAATGGGAAAATTCATTATCTAGATAAAGAGCGATTAGAATAACGAATAAAAGATGAAAAAAGTATTTTACTATTCTTAACTGATTAAATATGGAAATTCCAATTTTTATAATAAAATAATGCTTCTTCTGGAATGAGTGGCCACTTGGCAAACAATTATTTTATCTCATTAACTGTTTAAAGGTCAAGATGACGCTCTGAGGTACTACTGCCTTTCACTATTTACTATTCGAATAAACTTGTGCCCAACTCTGTACCAAACCTTACCTAACCGTGCTACGGAGTCGTACCAGATTCGCAATTCGCATTGATCTGGCTCATCTCACTAGTTTACGACCTCCTACTACACTTAATCACCTTACATATGGCACATCGGTGAACTCGTCTTAATAAACGCTGTCGTATTATGGATTTTAAAAAAAAGGCATATCTGGATCCCAGAGCCAGAGTGTATTAAGTCCACTTTTAAAAAGAATGACATTTTACATGTTTTCTGTATCAAATATTTCACTTTTTCCGATGGCAAAAATTATTTTGTTCTAAGCCGTGAAAATTTAATACAGATACATAGTAGGCTAAAAATCATATTAAGTCCATATTTATAAGACTGTGTATGGTTCATCACATTCATCATAAATTAATGCAAAGTTCACAATTTCTTCATATAGAGACTTATCTTAAATCCATTCAATAATTCAAAAATAGCGATTGTTTCTCGATCAATTCTTATTGAATGGTTTCAAAATTACAAGGTTTTCGTACCTTTGAGTAGTTCTCCTCTAAAGTTTGAAAAGTGTAACTTAATACATTCTGGCTCTGGGGTCCAGACATACAATTTCATTTAAAAAAAAATTAACTTGACCTTGAAATCTTTCCCACTGCTCTTCCTACAAAGAAATTATTTATACCACATTATGCACCCCTTAATACCAAATAACTTTTATAAGAACATTTTTCTGAATACCTTCAATTTCTTACAAGTTACACTCCACCGGTTCCAGTTAAACCAAACACCCTGTATATTTAGCTTCATGTAAAGTTACAAGAAGCTCCATATTTAGCTTCAAGTATATCTGAAACTAAACTTACAAAGTGACCAAAACAATAGAAAAAAAATATTGCTAATTAACTTCTCAAAACACAGGCACATCCGTGTAGTGCAAATATTATTTAAAGTTTATTAAAACCACTTACTAGATCGTGAAACTAGAATTTCATTTTTTATTGCATTCAACTCCATTATTTATAATCTTGTTATTACACAAATACCTTTGTCCTCTATTACATGTGTATTTCTAATTAAACGTACAATTTATTTGTTTGTTATAGAACCAGTGGCGAATTATGTTACCAGCGTTGTGGACACAGCGTTGAAAATTCATGAGAACGAAGAACCCGGGGATATCTTAGCGTTTCTCACAGGTCTGGACGAAGTGGATCAAGCAGTTTCCCTTTTATCAGAGCATGCGAAACTGATACAAGAAGGCAAACGTAAGTAGGATGATTTTGCGTGGCAATGTTCAAATAATTCTTACCGTTTATGTCTAGGCGGTATACAAGGTAAGTTACATAACACTTTCACCTAAAATATCTCCGTTCTTTTTAATAATACGAGAAAATATTTGCTCCCGTGGGATAGTTATTGTGATAGAGAAGATTTTTTTCTGAAATTTCTAGGTCATCGTCGTTTTTTTTTTAAATAGGATAACGTGTTTTGATTAGTAAAACGTTATAGCTAATGAGAAGACGAATTTAACCATTTATAATAAGTTGACCTTCAAATGACCTTCGGAGTAGTTATTTTTCAAAAAGCATATCTTAACGTACAAAGACCGATGTTCATGCTTCCCGTATTCTGGTAGGTTCCCATTGATGTAAACACTGAAACATTGTCGATAGATATCTCTTGTTTATAAACTTGTGTCCCTCGACAATGTTTCAGTCTTTATATTAACGAGAGCCTACTAGAATACGGGAAGCATGAACATCGTTTTCGTACGTTAAGATATGGTTTTTGAAAAATAACTCCTCCGAAGGTCATTTAAAGATTGATTTATTATACAATGTTGAATTTAGCTCTTCATTAGCTGTAACGTTACACAAATCAAAATACGTTATCCCATCTAAAAAAAACGACAATGACCTTAAAATGTCGAAAAATATGACCTTGAGAAAAAAATCTTCTTTATCACAATAACTGTCCTATAAGAACAAACATTTTCTTTCTTACATATTTTCTCGTATCATTAAAAACAACGGAGATATTTTAGGTGAAATTGTTAGGTGACTCACCCTGTATGTATAGGGTGATTAACCTAACTCTACTATGTACCTAAATACTTATAAAATGTTTGTTATATTCAAAAATGTGTCGAATAAAAGTGTTATGGTATCGAATGGTGCACGCAATATAATAAATAGTTTTTTGCTATTCTGCTTTTGTATCGAGATATGAAGGTCACCTTGAGTTTTTTAATCGTATTGTGTGAAATTTGATCCTGCGATTGGAAACAGTGTTGAACGCTGAGTAAGAAATTGTTGGGGCATATGGGTTGAAAAACTAATAATTACTGGGATATTCTTCAGTGAATGATTATAAACTTTCATGAATGTAAAATCCGTACAACGTTTACAATCATTCTCCGAATTTGACGCCACTTAAATACTTGTACTTTCTTTTGAGACATCTAAAAAAACGAAGATAACCGTGACTACCAACGACATATAACTCAAGAAACATTAGAACGTTTGTCATTTGCACTTATTAAACGACTACACACTTGTATTGATTGTAATGAGCAACATTTTGAGCATTATTTATGTTAAAAATCATTTAAAGAATATCTTGGAAATTACTGCTTTTTGGACCCATATAACTTAGTAGTTTTTATTCAGTGTTGAATATTCTTTCCAATTAGTGGTTCAAATTTGACACATTACAATTAAAAAACTCAAGGTGACCTTCATATCTCGTTAAAGAAGCAAAATAGCAAAAAACTAATTATTACATTGTGTACCCCCCTGGATACGATATAACTTTTGTTGAAAACATTTTTTCATATTACCAAACAATTTTCAAGTTCATTTAGATGGCAGAGTCAGGTAAATCACCCAGTATATACTTAGTGCAGGCGGTAAAAATCGTTCAAGCTCCACGACAGTACCCTCGGTTGATTTTTCAACGTTACACAACCATTTGAAACAGATCCTACGGACTTTATTTTCTTTCTTTGTACATTGTTCTTCTTTTTCAGAGAAACTTTTACCCCTGGCTATGTATGGATCACTTCCAAACTCGGAACAACTGAAAGTATTTTGGAGGGCAGCCAAGGACACTCGTAAAGTAATCGTGGCAACGAACATAGCCGAAACATCTATCACCATTCCAAACATCGTTTATGGTAAAGATATAATGTTACGTCCGCAGAGATGTTCTGTTACCTCTTTACACAACAATATCTTTCTTTATCTAGAATGTATTTGCCATTTACTGGGCACATAAAAGAAGATTTAACTGCATATTTTTGAATGTTTAGTGTTTAGAAATTGCATACAAGATATTTTTTTCTGTAACTTCGAAATAAGTATTATTAACTGTTTCAATTTATTCCACTCGAAAAATTTGGTAATTGAAATGGATGACAATATGGTGCAGCTAAGCCGGGGAAATAATAATTGTCTAATAATGACTTGAGACGTACACGACTTCCATTTGACTCTTTCTAATTTATTTCAGTTAAAAATTTGATAATATACGTTAATTTACGATATACATATTACTAGGTATAATTATTATTTAGTAAAACTTCGCCATTTGCAGTGGAAGTTTTTTATGACGCTACTCAATAATTCCCTTAAATTAAGCTATTTGTAAATGAGAATATTCTAATAATGTGTTTTTAAATTATAAACTTTTTACTTGATTGTTTGTTATTAACAAAATATTACTATTTACATTGTTTCATCTTCTACATTAATAAGATTCGTCGCAATTGTAAATAAATCTATACACTAGAAATCATTTTCCAAGATCACACATTGCATCTATAGCAGATGGAACTTTTTCAGCAGACTTAATACATTTTTATACACAATATCTCACCGTTAAAAAAGAGTGATGTCATTAAGACTTTCTCTATTAATATTTAGTAATCGATTGCGGTTTTGTCAAAATTCCCTGGTTTGAGGCGGAAACACAGACGAATTCTCTGGTAATTGTCCCCGTGTCGAAAGCTTCCGCTAACCAACGTGCCGGTCGAGCAGGTCGAGTACGATCAGGAAAAGCGTATAGGTATGTTCTACAATTGCGTCTAAAACACATATTTTTCAAATTTTTATCTGTTCTCATTGTAGATTATATACAGAAGAGGCATATTCTGAATTATTTGATGCAACACCACCGGAAATGCAGCGTTCTGATTTGGCACCAGCCATTTTACAATTGAAAGCACTAGGCATCGATAATGTATTAAGATTTAATTTCCCTTCTGCTCCACCGAGCAAAAATCTTCTTACAGGATTGGAGTTACTTTATGCATTAGGTGCAATAGATAGCAATGGAGAATTAACAACGCCATTAGGTATCACAATGGCAGAAATGCCATTAGAGCCTGTTTTAGCAAAATCTCTTATAGTATCAGGTAATATTTTAATAAAAATATTTTTATATAATTATTTTCCAACGGAGAATAATAAGGATCAAACAGTTCTAAATAGAAAAATCTATGTTGCATTTCATATTTATATTCAAAAGTTTAAACAATGTATTCTTCATTACAAAAGAATTACTCTTTTCTACATTTTGCATACTTTCTTGCAACCATAATGGAAAGATTTATTGAGTTGAACGTTATAGGTTCATGCTAAATTTCAAACATTATTTTGATTCAAATTCGTATGGTTATTCACTTCTAAAGTAGTATTTGAAATATTTCAATTTTACAACACACCTGTGAAGCTTTATGTTTAAATATATGAAACTAATTTTATATGTGATATTTCAAATGGCATGTTAGTACTATTTATACTTAATACTTCGATTTTTAAATTAATTTAAATTTTAATTTAGTTTCGTTATACTAACTGATTTCTTTTGCGTACAGGTGAAATGGGATGTTCCGAAGAGCTTACAATTATTCTAGCTATGCTTCAAGTACAAAATATTTTTATAAGACCAGCTGGAGGTCAGGCTGCTATAAAGGCCAGAGTGGCACATAGAAAATTCGAAGTCGAAGAAGGGGATCTTTTAACCATGCTCAATGTATATACTGCTTATGAGAAAAATAAGGTATCTAGCTGGTGTCAGAAAAATTTTCTGAATTACAAAGCGTTACGACGGGCTACAGAAATTCGACTCCAAATGCACTCAATGATAAAAAGATTAGACATTCCATTGGTTTCCTATAATGGTAAATAAATATTACATTAAGTTACATATATATTATAAGACATAATAAATTCATAACAAACTTTGTCCTATTTCTTTAAAGGAAACGTACAACAAATTTTAAAGTGTTTGACCGCTGGGCTTTTCCCAAAAGCAGCATATTTACATTATACAGGAGTATATAAAACAGTACGTGGAAACAAGGATTTATACATACACCCAAATAGTTGTTTATACACACTTCAACAACCACAGTGGTTTGTATATGAACTTCAATATTTAAATTTTATTTACTACCATTTTATACGTTTTATTAAATTACCTATTTTTTCTAGGTTACTTTTCTGTGAAGTTTTACAAACGAATAAAACATACATGAAGGACATAACTGTGATACAACCAGAATGGTTGCTGGAATTAGCACCGCATTTTTATGAAAAAACATCGCTAGAATCTATTTAATACAATTTTTGTAAATAATTCCAATAATAATACAAATGAGAAACAATTAAACTGCTAAACCAGTATTTTCTATCCAAAACCATTAGCCTAGTATATTTATTCAAACGATGGTCAACAAAATAAAGAAAGAAGCTGGCAGAAAAATCTAGCAACAAGAATCAATTCATCAAAATGAACAAGCTCGCAGCCAATTAGCTCATATTATTTGCTATATAATTCGCCAACTTGTAGGTGATTATGACTGTCAATTTTATACCAAATAATAATGATTGCCCAGGTCTTACCATGTGGAGGTTGTTGCGAATAGAGACCCACCCCCCACCACGGCTACACCGCCCCACCCTTTGCGCTTTCTTCAATATTTTCCCCAACAGTTGTTGCTTTAATCGAAGCAGCCCCCTTGAAGATCTTCATATGAAGAGAACTACTCTTCACGTGAACATCACATTACTTAAGGGGTTATGCCTACCTATAAATTTTGAAAACATTGATTTTTGGGTTTTTATATTTTCGTACAGTACATCATTTCAGAAATATGGTATGAAGGTTTGAAGTTGATCCGACCAAAATGGGCGGAGTCACGCCCGTTTAAAGTATACGGCCTTGGAAGTTTCGGAGCAGATATGAAGTGGTAGAATCTCTTTCTAGGGGTGCGGAGTCATGAATACTGTGCCCCAATGCAATTTATGGTTGGTTAGAAAATACACAAAGCTATATGAAGCCGTAATACTAAGAATAACTATACATAAACAATTTGCCTTGATTCGGTTGTAAACCTGAGTTGAAACTTTAAACGTGTTTTTCTCAAAATCACATTTTCAAAATCGGTGACCAAAATACCTCGAGAACCGCTGCACCGAACTGTTCAGCTTTGGTAGACTCATTCTATACATAAAAATCTAGTGCCTGATCGTGGTTTTTTGTATTTAATTGCGTAGTTTTTATTTCATAGATCAAAAATGAACGATTTTTTGGGCGAAAATCGATACTTCGATTTTGAACAGCCGCCATTTTGTCGTAAATTAATTTTTCAGGATAATGGACGATCAGGCACTAGATAATTTAATATATTAACTAAATTTGCTCGGATTTTTTATTTTAAATAAACGAACACAGTGGTCACCGCAAAACGCCTAAAATAAAAACGCTGCCGGGAGATCGCTGATATTTCCCCCATTTATTTATATTTTGCATTGAAAAAATTATTCTAAGCACTTTAAAATGTACACTTTCGAATACAATGACGTATGTTTAAAAAAGTTTTCAAGTTTGTTAAAAATAAATTCCGAAAGTACATGTCATTTTTCGAGCTCGCAGGTAGGCATAACCCCTTAAGAGAAATGTTCGTATAAAGTTCACATGAAGAGTGAACTCATCATATGTAATTATCAGATGAAGAGATGTCTTCATATGATGCTTTCTGAAACGGAACCTGTAAGGATTAGAACGAGACATTATTATTGGTCTTCAAATGTGATCTTCAGATGAAGAAATGTCTTCATCTGATGATTTCTGAAACAGAGCCTGTAAGGATGAAAAAAGACATTATTATTAGGTGTGGATACTTCAGTTTTAATAAGTTTTTAATCCACGATGATTCCTGAAACAGAAGTTCAAAGGATCACAATAAAACATGTCAATGGACATTTCATAATGCATAAATTTGAATAATAATTGTAATAACAACATGTAATAAGAATAGAAGTATACCAACACGTTTTTATAGATATTTTAGTTCGATAATAGAAACAAACTATATATCACAATAAAACATGGTTACGGAAATTTCAATAAGAATTTCAATAACAACATGTACCTAATAAGAGTAAATAATATAATAACATGTTTTTATAGATATTTTATTTCTGTGGAGTCGAAATTTAGTCCCACAACGATACCTAATCTGAAACAGGAAATTCAAGAAATTCGAAACATGGTATGTATTATCTTCACATGTTGACAAACTTGTGTTCATTTTTTCGGCCCACTTTTCTGGCGCGACGTCGCGTCGCCCCATTTCCACTTTAGTGTCATTACCCACCGCAGATTCACCGTTCTGATAACGCAAAGGTCGCTAAAATCATAGGCTTTTTAAAATGTTGTTGGTACTACAATTTAAGTGGGCCACCAACGTATATAAAAAATTAACAGTTTGTGACATATTTCAAATTTTATATTTAAAACATCTCACGAATTATTAACTTTTTGCACATAATACCTTAATATTGTATTACACAGAACGTTTAGAAGAATCCATGTACGCAAAAAAAAATATTTTTACTCCACAATGTTTTAGTATCATTAAAGGGAAAACATAATTAACCTTGAAAACTATGAAGATCCGCCACTTACGAAAAAATTGTTACTGCTAAGTAATAGTCCTCGCCATATTAAACAACTTCTACGAATAAACATTTTTACTATCTCTAAAAATAACGAAGATAATTAAGATCTGCAAAGTGCGTATATTTAGCCTACCCTATATGTAGCTGAGTCGCATGCTGAACGGCCTAGTGGTGGGGAAAGCGCTCGGGTGATTGGTGCACGTTTATTGCATAATTACTGGAATTCTGACCTTCTACAGCCCCGAAATACGCAATACAGTAATGTCTCGATAAGTGTGAATGCCTCGGTTCGCGGAGTCACATTTATGCTGTAGGCGAACAGTTGTCAGCACGCGTCAATCTGTTTTTTACTCGAAGCTCGACCCTCGACCGCTTGCCTTTGTAGTGTTCCGAAGGTAGAAAAGGACAAGCGATGTGGAAAACAGAAAGAGAAAGCTTCTTTCTACCTGCGACGTTCTCGCCGACCAACGGTTACATTATAGCCGACCACACAGTCCGATTGTGTGTGTACCGTTTCGGCCAATAATAAAAATACGTGTGGAGGTATGATCCAGCTATATTTAATTCATCGGCAGCTCTCTAGCCAGTCGCTGACGATTAAACGCTTCGACTAATCATCGTACATACATCCCCTCGCCGCCGCTACGTCCATCCCGCCGCGCCTAGACGATTTCCCATTCACGAACCAAAAAAAGATTACATTCCCGGGTGGTATCGGCGAGTCAACGCTAATGCAACGATGAAACTTTTATATTTGATTCGTTGTTAATGAAACTTTTACTGATACATTGGTGAGATATGTCTGATTAAAATGATACCAAATACGACATAATTTGGATCATATTTACTCATGTAGAAAGTGGTAATAGTTCATATTCGTTCATTATCGCTTCTGATAAATCATAAGTAAATATGGTCCAAATTATATCGTGTTTGGTATCATTTTAATCAGAAAAATCTCATGAATATGTTCGTAAAAGTTTCGTTAACGAAGAACCAAAAACAAAAACTTTCGTCGTTGCATTTGATCCCCTCGTTTAGCCGTCGGCTCGTGGAAAGAAAGCCATCGCGGCGCGCCGTGAAAAAATTATACGCTTGACAGGTTCCACATCCCTCTTCCCCAGTGGTGGGGATGATGATTTCACACTTATTGTGGAGGAGCCGGCTCACACTTATCGAGGATTTACTGTAACCGAATGGCTACTATACCATACTATACATACGTCTTTTGTGACAGGAAGGAAGTTAGTGGCGCCACCAATCGGTAAGAAGTATGTTGTTTTTACCCTAATTAGCCGTTGGCCAAGAAGTTCCATAAACATTAGATGTATATTTTGGTTTCTATCAACTGCAGTACTCATATTGAAGGAAATTACGTCTTAAATGTTTAATTGAGACGTACATTGGTGTATACTTTAAAATTTGTCAAGTAAGATGAAAAAGAAGGACACTGAATAATTATATGTAAAACAAAACTCATTATAAAACTTCCAACAATTTAAAATCCAGTTTACAACGACAAGTAGTTTAGATTTAAAAAGACGCATGGCTGTAACGTGGATGTGATATTAACCTTGATTTTGTGATATCCTTGAAAGCTTGAAGTGAGCATTATGGCTAAAATAGCAGAATCTTTCAAGAAATTGAGTGTTGAGCACAGTAAACGGAAATTCAATGACAATCGAACAACCATGAAAAGAAAAAGCGAATTAATATCAGCGATAGAAGAGACAGTGTCCCTTGATAATTACATTCTGGCTGTCTGTGGAATACAAAGGCAAATTTTTCTTACAGATTTTTACATTGTATTTCAAATTAAATCTATAAATAGTATTGTTTTCTGTAACATTTGTCATCCCAGAAAATTTCGTAGCGTTCATATAAATTGTATTCGCAAGTTTTTCTTAAACAGTACTCCGAACTTTCCCCTCCAATTCATTTAAAACAAGTGCCCCTGGTTTGTGTTATACAAAAAAAATCAATCATTTCGAAAATTCACTTTTTTAAGAACAAAATACTTCTAAAATTTTCAACATAATAATTTATAAATACTTGTAATGGATTTAAATATTCTGTATAAATAATTGCATAAAACTAAACAAATAAATTTTACTATGCTTTACTATTAGTTTTTAACAGAATAAAGTTGAAGAAATGAGTTAAGATTATTAAAATTTATCTAATATTAGCAAATTTGAATTGGATGTAAATTATATAATAATCATATATTTAAACAGTGATTTTACAGTATTTCATGAATTTCTTTATATAGCGATCCAGAATTTAGGATTGGTACAGCTTTGTCAGATTATACATGTACAATACATTCTGTTGGAGAAAGCATAAGCAAAAGTATTACTTTAACTCACAATCAAGCTCCTATTGTTGGTATAAGGTTTAGTCCTACATCTAAGAACATTTTATATACAGCGACGAGTAATGGACTCATTACAGCATGTGATCTACGTGCTAAAGGAAAGGTCATTGCAGAATTTAAAGGTTGTATTTAGTAATACAATTCCTTTTAGTAACGGATTAAATATGCAAACATATAATCAAGTGTATCATAGAGTTTATACCTGCATTTCAAACGTTTCAAAGATTTAACACATTTATTTCTTTTTCAGACTGTACAGAAGATGGAAAAGTGAAACCCCTCTGCAGTTTTGATGTAGGCTATGATGAAAGACTTATAGCAGGTGGAACCGAACATATCGGAGGAGATGCATTCATTTTATTTTGGGATATACGATATACTAATTCGAAATTGTACAATAAAAATACTCTTCTCGGTGGGTACTGGCAATCTCACATGGAAGATGTGACCTGTTTGGCATTTCATTCTAAGAAGCAGGATGTTTTAGCATCTGGTAGTACAGATGGTTTGATTAATGTATTTGATCTTACACAGCCATCAGAAGAGTCTGCATTAACATATTCCTTGAATACTGAATCTTCTGTGGTGAGATACAATTTTCTCTGAAATTGTCAGTATGTTATTATAAAATGGTATAAAACTGTATCTACTAAACATATATGTTAACTATAGGATAGGATAGGCTGGCTAAATGATAATAACCTCTGGTGTACAACCCATACACATTCTTTACAACTTTGGGACTGTGAAGGAGCCACTCCATATTCAAAATTTGAACGCAGTGACTTAGTAGTTTCCCAGGTTAATATTAACTGGACTATATTAATTATAATTCGTAATTTATATATTATTTATGCATATATAGTATTTGCGCAATTTAACGGCTTTTCTTAATTTTAGCTATTATCCTGCGGGTTTTTTTTAAATAACTTCATTTTATCACTAAAACAAAAAATCAGGGCAGGGGAGGCTGAAAAAGTAATGTAGTTCCTGAAATCTTTGCAAAAAACTGCTGCTACTACTGCATTGAATCTTGCCTATACGTGCACGCTACTTCACTACGGTTTGTTCAAATAGCTGCATTTTATCACTAAAACAAAAAATTAAGCGAGGGAGGTCGAAAAAGTAATGTACATTTGTTATTTTTGTTTAAAAAAGCGTGGGAAATTAGTAGGAATTGTCCACTTAACACCGATTTCAATGACCTTTGGATATGTTATACAATCCAACATTTTCCTGTACATGTTAGCACCGATATGTCTTAGTTTCCGAGATATTTATAGCTAAAATTGAGAAAAGCCACTAAACTGCACAATTACCTTATTTATAAATACATGATCATTTAAAAATATCTTAATAATAATTCCACATAAATACAAAAACTATTAGAAAATTTCGTATAATTTACTCTTTTTGTAGAATGATGAGGTAGATAACTGTTATATTGGCAGATTTCACACTTCAGATTTGCTTGAACAGACATTCCTCATAGCAGGCTCCAGTACTGTTAAAGGGTAAGTTGCTACATGACTTAAAAATACAAGAAAATAGAATAGTATAGAACTACAATGATAAAATTAATTAATAATAAAGATTCAAATTATTTACGATTATGATTTTCATGTATTTGTAATTGCTTTCATTTATTTTTATTAAAATATTTTAGGGAGAATTTAAGATGCTTGAATGTTCTAAACAATCGATTAGAAGTATGTTACAACATGGTAGGAAATAAGCAGTTAGTACGTGATAGTTGGCTCCATGAAAAGGTATTATCTGAATAGAATTATTATTGGATGCAAAATGAAGTACTTAAACAAAGATAAAGTAAAATTTAAATATGATTTACAGACTGGTTCTTTAGTAACAGTGGGGGAAGGTGGACTTATAAACATTTGGAGGCAAGCAGAAACAACTCCTTTACAAGAAAATTCTAGCCATAAATTGGTAGCAAAGATTGGTACTGGCAAAGGACGTGATCGTCAGCATAGAACCAAACCGTATTGAATAAAAGTGATAGGATAAAAATTTGTAAATGCGAACAGAGTTTTTGTAAGTAAATGTAATAAACAGAAGAGAAATATCACGTAACATTAACATAATCGTACATTTCTCTCACGTTCTTCTTTATTACAATAACGGTTTTATGTACATTTATAATAAATAGATATTATTTCTTTATGCGGGTAATGATTTAACAGCGATTCATGTATCATTCGAAAAATGCAGCAAAACATGTGTATATAAACGCTAAGGAATGTAAATCACATACCAGTGTGTGTGTGTGTGTATATATATATGTGTGTGTATAAGATTGAAAGAGGAAGAAAATATTGTAAATATTTGTTTACTCTTGCCAAGTAACAAATTAACTTTAATGGATCGCCTTATGGAAAAATTATTTCTGTAGTATATGGATTTAGTAAAATAGGAGATTACAAATTGCATTTGTCATACAAGAGATGTATTTAGCGTACTGTGTTAGTAAATGGTAATCTTGATAGAGCAATCAAGTAAGTAACACAATAATAACGATTATTATTAGCTTACAACCGTTAAAACGGTCTGTAGTTTAAAAGTGATCAACTTTAAGAGAATGCTAATGCTCAAGTGAGCGCGTCTTAAAACAGGTACGCGTTCACTTTATTAGATTATTATAATTTTACGTTAACGTTTCCAAAGACGATCGCAGTAGCGAGTATCACAATGATAACAGTAGATATAGTTTTAGAGTAAAATAGTAGGTACAGAGTAAACGTACAAAAATACTTCCCATGAGCATCAGGGACGTAAAGATTCACTAAAACGTGGAAAACCGCGTTGCTAATAATTCTTTATATCCTCTCTTAAACTTATGCAGTCGAATGACATCGAACTTCTTAGATGCCACAAGACGCACATAGGCCGCCGCACTACTTCTTAGTTGTTATTCCAATTTGATTCTCCGCGTTACCCTGAAGATGGTGTGCGACTATATATATACGTATTTAAATATCTATCTGGAATGATTTTGTTTGGAATTACATCTCATATGTTTTTTTTTCTTTTATAATGAGCATCATAATATTAAGAACAGTTTAACTTGTATCAAGTGTTCTTGAAATGAAGTCGAACACTCATCCATGAAGGCTACTAACAGGTTAATACAATATTATTTATGAGCTGATACATAACTCGATACTTCTAGTAGTAGACTTGTAATAACTCGTTAATTATGTTTTCTTTTTCTCACACTTTACATCTTATGGAAATACTTTGAAGAACTATTGTCATCACGATTGATTGAGACGAGTTGATACTGTTGCTTATGTTTCCTTATGATGATAAATTAATTATTTAGTATCATGTTTTATCATCGTGCCTCTACGACGCTGTCCTCCACTAGATCATATTGCACGCTACAGCATCTTCTTAGGCAAACACGTACAGTGTCTATATTTGTATATACTTTTCTATATATATATATATATATATATATGTATCAAAACAAAAGTCTGATTTTGTCGCAATCATCTACATTCTAGGGCCATATCTTCAAGATAAATTTTTGTTTTGCCTCTGTTATCTTAGTGGATTTCAATTTTAAATATAATATTTCCCTTAAAGTTTTATAAACAAAGTAGTAAATTTAACACTTTAAACGTGCAGTATGATCATACTTTGTGTAATACTTTCTCTGAAACGGGTTCCAGTTCCACAAATACTTGAAAACTTTCTTAAATAAAAAAACTTATAAATAAAACATACGCCCAATAATGATAACTGCTCTTACGCGATACAATAAATAAATTGTAAATAATCGAAAAACAAAATGGATCAGAGTGACAATAATGGCAGTGAAAAATCTTGAATCAAAGGATCAAATAGAAAATGTTTACTTGGATTGCTATTTATCCAACTTAAGTTGGGAGAAAACAACAGTAATCGTTAAAGAAATGATGTGCAATGATGATACTGGAAAATTAACGACTTCAACTGTGGCTTTTGGCACACATAATAGTGATTCGTCATTTGTTAATAATATATCATATCCGTCGTTTTAGCACATATTAAAATACTTTTAAAGTTACATGGTATAAGAATAGCTACCGCGGTCGCTCACGCATTCGTTCACGTACTATGTGCGCACACAACCATAAGTGCATACGTGTACATTCTTGGTAAAGTGAAGTTGTACACGTACACTTGTATCATTTAATTTCATTCATTTTTCTTCGTACGTTTCTTGAACCTAATATACGTACATATGTCATGAAAAAGTATATGTACACATCCATGTATATGCACTCCTAATTATAACGCATTTTACTACCTTGCATTTTTCAGCAAGCAGCAACGTATTTGCCTAAAGGATTCATCTAAAATCATGTCTCTAAAACTGTCAGTCGGCTTAATAACATAACGAGCAAGAATTCAACAAGATCGGCTGAACAACTAACCTCATCAAGCCGGACTTCCTTAATACATTTGTTCTCGCAAGTATTAGTGAGCACTAATTGTTGTGTTTTTAGTTGTCCATATATTTTACAGTTATTCTCTTTTTTTCTACGATAGGGTTCGCGAGACTTTGCATAAAAATGATATTATTGCCCTCAATAGCAGTTGAAAAGTAACATTACTTTTTATCGAGTTATTCAGAATAATATATATGTATGTATGTTTTTATTGACAGTCACGTGATCTTTATAGACACGTTAAATGCATTATTTACGTATCAGGTTGCATTTTAACATGCAACATGATAAAAATTCTCATCGAGCGAAGAAGAAAAGAATGAAAGACGAATAGAGGAAAAGAAGAGAAAACAGTGTATGAACATGAAATGAATGGGGACAAATTAAAAGTAACAGCAAAATGCCAAAGGAAATATTAGAAATGGTAATACAAAGATATTACCGAGAAAAGGTTGAAAGTCAAAATGACTTTACACGACTTCTACTTTGAGCATCTTTTGATTGATTCCGAGCCGGAGTTAGTTGAGATGTCGGGGTAGCTTCGCCAGTTGTTGGACGAGTGGATCGAGAATGCTTTCGACCGAAACGAAAGAGTCGTCAGAAAAAAATTACCTCTTCTTCCAAAGGTTGTTGCTGTTCGGTTCGTGGATGTTGCGGATGTTGTTGTTGTTGTTGTTGTTGATGTGAATATTCCGGAGGAGATCGTGTAATTCGTAACGACCGATTCGAGGAATGAATTTGACTGGTGCTAGCGTGATTATTACCTAGTTCTGGTGAAGAGTACGTTGAGCCAGTCACGATTGCCGGACTACTACCAGTTCGCGAATGTCGATCAGGACTGTTATTACTTGTGCCTCCGCTCCTATTAGTTAAACAGCAAAGAAAAATGATTAAACCGTATCCCATTTATTACTCATTATTGAAAACCTGGTATTTTTGAATAACCAATCGATTTATAAATATACAAGATGTGTTAATTCAAGTGATTAAATTATACCAATCGATGCCGAAAACAAAAAAGAAAGTTCCGTATAATTTTTCATGTCAATAGTGTTTCTTCTTTCATTAATACAAATTTGCATTCTATGTATTTCGTAGCAATTCAGTTTTTCTGCTTATTCTTGCAATACATTAATTCTGTTTTTACACGAGATTCGTTCTAAAAAAAATTCGTGTAAAAAAAAACAAGAAAATACACCGCGCATATGAAAAAACGGAAGATTGCCTCCATCCAGTTAAGACCTTTTTTCAGTTCAGAGCAATCTCCTAGAAAAATAATTAGGAATATGTTTTCACAGAATTAAAATTAGGTGAAGATTTTTAAAAAGACAAAGTTATCAGACCGCGTTAGATTGAAACAAACCATGCAATAAAAGAATTTTTCTTTAACCATGTTGAATCTATAGATATAGAAATATAGTCTGCACATCTCCATGAAACAGGCATCCCAAGCTTAGAAAGAGGTAAATAACTTTCGGAGGACTTGGCGTCTCTTTTTAAATCTAAATAGCGGGGGTAAGGTTCTGGGGATCTGCGTTTTGTATGGTTGACTCAGCTATTATTAGAAAGAGATAGCAAGTCCTCCGAAGGTAACCCGTCTCTTTCTAAAGTTGGGACGCCGGCCCAGCCTGATACACAGTCTATATTTCTGTCTATAGTTAAATCAAAATCATGTAAAAAACAGAATTACTTATACCATTGTATATTAGCAGTTTCATCGTTTAATTTGAAAAATATATTTTCTATATTATTGTATATCGTTGTATATACCTAGTATTATTGTTGCTTCCGCTAGCAAGTTTCAAAGGCAATTGCTGTTTCACAGGAAGATTGCTTTGCACTTTCTGTTGATTAGTAGCGCTTATTAAATTTAATGGTATCCGTTTAGCGTCTGGCTGTGATTTTCGAGTCTGTACTGCGTCAGTTCCCTGCGTCATATGAGACAAATGAATAGTCGCGGAACCAGGCGTAGAGCCTGCAACTAATGTCAGCCCTTGTCTCTCTAATGCTTCGAGCCGTCGGTACAACTGATCCCGTTGTCGCTCTTCCTCCAATTGTTTCTGTTCTTGTTGTGATGCAGCACGGAATGCTGATTTCTCTCGACTCAGTTGGTCTTGTAAGTTACGCAACTCTTCCAATTGGCGATTTGTATTAGGTCTATTATTAGATTTACTTATACTTCCTTCTTTACACGCAGCTAATTGTGCCTGCAAGCTATCGATTGTCGTCATCTGGTTACTAATTATACAGAGCAGGGTATAAACATGATGAGACAAACGAATCGCCGCCCACTGTTGATCTTTGTTCGTTTCTGAATCCTGACTATCTTTCTCGTCTGGACTCTCTTTCATGAATTCACCAACTTTCGGAAGAGAGATTACAGAATGAATCGCTGCAGAATCTCGTAACGGATATTTTTCCTGGACAATTAAATTAAAAATTATTATTTGCATTTTGAGAGTGATACCGAGTCGCGTATTTACCTTGTTATGGTCAAAACCGGCAAATGTTTCAGCTCTTCGAGGTACACTAAGAGCGGCCGGAACATACGTTTCACTATGTCGTTCACCCGCAGAGCTTAGACTTCTCGAAAGCGTACCACCACCTGCACTAAAAGATAACGAGCTAGCAAGTTTTGTCGCTTCTTGGACCGCTACCACTACCTATAAAAAAGGAATTTCCTCTTAGTCTCAATATTCTATAGGAAATTATTAAAAATTGCATAGCGACAACAAAGTTTATAACCTCCTGCCATAATTGTGTGGTGTCACTCCCCTCGTTATGAACCAGTCTAGTATAATCTGGAATTTCCTTGTCAACTTTTTCTAATCGTTCATTGTCACTATTTTCATTTCCACTCCAAATGTTTGCTGCATGTAAGAGCTGCATTTGTAAGTTAAGTTTTTCTTCGAGTAAAAGTGCTTGTTCAGTATCCTTTTTTCGTAGTTCAGCTAAATGTTTTAATCAAGAACAACCATAATTAATGATGGCAATAAAATTCTAATTGAAATACATAATTAGTACACTGTACGCACCAACTATTTTCTGGATATGGGATTCTTTAGTTTTAACTAGACGTTGTCTTTCTTCTATGGAAAGTACTGATATAGAAGAGGAACGTGTATCTCTCAATTCATTAGTACTATTATTTTCAGTTAATGTATCCGTGTCATTTTCAGGTTCTTGCGGGCAAGCTTCAACAGCTGATCGAATCGCTTGAATCCACAGCTGTTTATCTTTGGGTTTCTGAATTTTCAACTCAAACATTTCAGGTTCAGCTGGATTGCTACTTATTAAATAGATTCCCCTAGACTCTTGACCAGCTTTCTCGCGTACTAATAACTTTTGAAGTGACACTATACCAGCCTTATTGTCAGGCACAAAAAAGGCATACTTCTGATCCCTCTCAGCCAAGAAAAATAATATATCAGAAAGAACAACTACTACGATGGCAGTCATTTTTCCACGACCTTGCATTAAGTATGCAGTACCTTCGAATTTCAAAATTCTGTTAAATGCCATGATGTCTGACTTTTTGAATTTGGCACCACGATATGTTGCGAAAGATTTTGCGTCGATCCTATATAATAGTAGTTAAAACAATATTAGTATTACTTGGAAACAATTAATAAATATTCAATAAAATAGTTTCAATTGTCTCACTTATTATATATCTCTAATTTTCTATCTTCTCTTTCTTTATCCGCTACACAAGCATCCACATCCGCTAAAATTTCTTTAACAAGACTCAAGGCTTTCCGCAAATCTTCACCTTCTTCCTGTGCAATACCCGTTTTTATAAGTGGTTCGACCAACAGTGGATACTTCGTTAAACGTTGAGTAACAAATAAGATACACTCAGGAATTCCTTTCTTCTTTAGCAGAGGATGCGACTGTATAAATATCAAAGATTTTTCTGTTATACGAAAAAGTAACACAAAGAGAATGCAAACATGCAAATTGTTACTCTAATAAGCGACTAAATAAGTTCTTTAATAAGACATGATTTTTGTGATCAGTGTATACATTAACCCTAGATCCGGGGGGGGGGGGGGGGGAGGCTCCTCAAACACACAAGTCGAACAGCGTAAAATTACAACTATTTCCTGTCAGCAAAAAATGTTTAAAAAATTATTTATTGTCGTATACATGTATACGTTTGATATTCAAAAGTCCTCGTTACTGTATGTGAAAAATATTGTACATGAGAAAAAGAAAACGGACTACGGGGCTCAGCACTGGCGATCGCGCGTCGATGCTATCAAGTCTTTATTACGTCTTATTGCACGGTATATTATGTTTTTCTTGTCTCCAAACAATAACAAACGATCACAGAACGAAGAATCGAACTAACGGCAGAATTAGAAGAATCAGATTCACATTAGTTCCATGTTAGTATACTATTTTACACTACCATTCTATTTTACAAATACATATAAATAGAAAATGATTTTAAGAAAAAACATGTGCTATCTTGTTTGCAGTGTATAATATACTCTAATGTTATAAAATTTTCATGAAAAAGTAATTTTTTTAAGGAGAAATATGTAAGAAGTGTGGGTTCGAGGAACCCCCCTTGGGCATTTACGTGACAGCTCGAGGCTCGGGCGTTCTAGGGTTGACTTTTTTGTGACCAGTGGGACGCATATGTCACATTTGAATACTTGAACAAAAATTGATCTGAATTTAGCATCCATTACAGACGCAATAATCGATTGATAAACAATAAATTCTTAAAAAGAAAATAATTCGGTCATGAAAGGGTTAAGGTCTTTTTGAAAGTAGGGGAAAAAAGGTTACAACATATATTAATATTTTGATATAGTTACCTGACACTGACGTACGAATCGTGCGAACCTAGGATCATGACGTAAGTAATATTTGTAAGCTTCGACAGCGTCCCTGTGACGACTACAGAATTCCCCATAGGCACTCTTCATACGTTGCGCATTTTCACTAGAGAACTGATCAACGAGTATATCAGCGATTGTAGGAACAACGTGGTTTGCATTTTGCCGTTTTCGTAACTTTTGCAGAAATCGTAAATGAATATCGATGAGATCGCGAAGTCTAGGAAACATACGTTCCAAGTCTGGTTGGCCAAGACGGAAATGACGCCGGAGACCTTCCGCGAAAATTCGTTCCATAGCAAGAAGCACTAAACAATGATGTTTTTCCGTGAGGACAAATTCGTAAATGTGTTCTTGTCGTTTTACTTTCCGCTCGCAATTATCGACGAGTCGTAACGCGATATTATGTCCAATGGCGGAACTCCAAGAGTCAGGTTCTTCTTTAGCCAGGCCTAATTCAGGATCCAAACCTTCCAAATCGCCTACAGTAAATTGATGATTGTCATCACAGAAATCGAACTCTTCCCAACCACTGAAATATTTCGTTAAAATTGTTATCATTAATCAATTTTTTCATTATAACAAGTAACCAATTTTTTATTTAAGATTTTCTTACAAACCTGGATATGTCACGATGTTGCCCATCCCCATCTTTTTCTTCATTTATCGTTTGACTGAAAGAAAATATATATATACACATAATAGTTTTACCATTACTTTAATATTACCTTATATACATATGTAAATGTAATCAGCAAAGCAGTACCTAAGTTTTATTCTGTATGTACATACGCAGACATATGTATTTAATTTCCTGTGTTTTACACAAATCGCTCAAGACTAAATATATTTAAGGACGAATGTTACACATTGGAAGTACAGTTTTTGTAACTGTCTTGTAAGAATATTCAAGGCTGTCAATAATGTTGAATGCCAGATAAAGCTTTCACAATAATGTAGATGTGGTCTATAAGTCTACTAACAAGTATACAGGTGGGTCACTGATAGTAGATGAATGCTGTAAATAGGTATTCATATCTAAGTCGGGAAGGGGATGTATTCAATATGAAAATCCTATGTTTGTAAACCCCCATTTTTGGATTAACTTAGCGCCAATAAATTATTATGTTATAGCCAACTTTATGAATTATTAACTACAGATTATCCTTCCAACCCGACTCAATATTTAATCGCCAGTATGTTTTCACAAAGTGATACTTTATACAAATGAAAAACATTAATGCGAGTTTAGAAAAATATGCAAAGACGTGAATGATGTTAGAAACAGTGTTACATATATATTTCTAGTACAGTGGAAATAATTAAGGGAGAAAGGTAACAAAGAGCACATGGTATTCATTCATGATGATGTTTGACGAAGATTATTTAATTGTGTAATAATTGTAGGATTATGCTTTATAATGTTCGTGTGAAGATACAACGAAGTGTATACATAAAATATATCATTGAATGAACATAAATCATAGAAGCAAGCATATCAGAAGCATAGGCGGGGGCAAGGTGATGTCTCTTCCAATAGAACGCAGAGGCAATTCAATTGCCGTTTAAACAATGTGTGCGAGAAAAGAATTGAGGAACGATAGACGTGGGTCATCCTACTACCGTGTAGGACTGATACACGAACAGAAACGTACGAACGCTTCGACAGAATAGGAGGAGAACACATCAGATATCTAAGACTTACTTGACTCCAAGCTTAGTAGCAACTCGCCGCCAAGGGCTGTAGCTTGTCACGGCTTTCTTGCTGTTAATTTCCCTTTAATCGTTGAACAATCGATCGGTTTGTCGTAGTTGCACGAGAGGGAATGCACGGGGGAAGGAAAAAGCACACACTGCATTAGGGCAACTTCATTTTCCCTATTGTTTCCCCTCCTTCTTCATTTTTCTTATTCTATTCATGTTTTTCAATTTTGTACGTATCATCAGAATGAATACACACCTCGTTTTGTATGTATATATCTTTTCAGAAAAAAAGTGTTCTAGGCTGTGTTGTAAAATTAAAGTGTGTGTGTTGTTTGTATTTATATTATCTTTGATAAAATGTCTTAATATCAACTGTTATTAATAGCTACCGGTTTTTGTTAGTGATATTAGATTTATATATATGTATACATATATACATGTTATTTGAATGTGAAGAAGTTTGGGTAAAATATTTTGTATGTCAATAAAACATATATATGTAAAAGTTTTTATTAGTGATAATTAGAGACGCGAGGATAAACACGCTCAAGCTTGCCATACTATTGGCGAAACTTATATATATATATTGTATAAGAACATGTACATATAAAAATTCAATACGATCTGTTACAGTAAAGTGCAAAATGTATTGATCCAGATCGAAAAATGTGTGTAATTAATCGACGTATTGAATCATTTTTCAATTGTTCACTGTTTCACATTATCAATGCATAAACAATGACAAATGCTGAAATTCAATTAAGTGTATTGAAAAATACATTTTTAGGAGAAATCTAACAAGCAAAACAAAAAAAAAGGAAAAGAAATTGAAGTTCCTTGCTGAGCGCAAATTGTATATACGCATTTTCGAACTTATACATTACTTGTATCGGAAATAAGAAGAGTTTATTAGAAACTCTGAATTTAGGCATAGCCATGCCAATTGCGTGCGAATCTTGAACCACAGATACGCAGATCCAATGCGGGATATCTAATAATAATAATATCTATGATAAAAAGTATTTACCTTCCGCTTCCAGATAATGTTGGTAGAGGTAACGACGCAGTAGACCCTCTCTTAATATTACAACTACTCGATATTGTAGACATATTTGATGCAGGTTTGTTGGCAGCTTTACTGGAATGGTGTTTTGACTTAATACATTCCAGCACTAGTTGATCCTTACATCCTTGACTGTGATGTACAGATACTCCACAATCTGACATAACAGAATATTACACTTTTAACTAATTCATAAACCTGTCCAAATGATACATACTACAACGTTTTTTACTTACTGTCACAATGTAGAAGTGGCTTATTTGTCGATTGTTTCATACAAACATCACATATCAAACCTCCCTGAGATCCAGTCATTATTGTCGTCCATAAATGCTGCTGTAGACTAGTTTTTTTACCACTCTTATCCTGTAATACCATTACAGTTTTTACTATTGCCTCTGATACATAGGATGTTCAGACTAACGGTCCGCATGATTTTTTAGCCGTTTCCATAATGTAATAAAAAGAGTTAACCAAAATTTGTTTACAGACTCCTCTCGATTATCGTTCCGAACTCGATCCACGCCGAGACAATAATCTTATATATCATAATTAATAATCTTATGGGGAGAAATGCTTCAGACAGCTCGTAAATTCGTTTTTTGCCCCAAGCCCGAACCTCGGTAACAAAGTATGCGCTTGACGTGTCCCCCCGTCCAGTGGCAGGTATAACGCCTTGACAATAATCGTGTAGAACAAGCCAAACGATAATCGAGAGGGGTCTGTATGTTGAGTGGACAACATATAACGATAACAAACATTTTGAAAATACATTCTTTTCGTAACTAACCAAAGGTGACCTTGAGTTTGTTTAAATAGAACCATACAATTTTTTGCCATTATATTGTACGGATATTCAGACAAATTCAACCAGTACAAAATATGACACTTTTATTCACAGAATACTAAATTTATAGCAGTGGAAGCCGATCTGTTGGCCAGCACGTTCCCCGGATTTACCCTTACTTGATAAGCTGAGCCGAAAACATAATTACTACTACTTCCACTGCTGTAAATTTAATATTGCGCGCATAAATGTGCCACATTTTGTTGTAGTTGAATTTGTTTGAATATTCCATGCAATATAATGGAAAATACATTATACGATTCCATTTTTAAAAAAACTCAAGGTGATTTTTGGTTAGCTACGAAGAAAATTATATTTTCGAAATGTTTGTTATCGTTATATGTTGTCCACTCATTACAGATAAATTCTGGTTAAAAACTTTGCTTATTAGATTGTTGTAAACAGCTGAAAAATTGTGAGGATCGTTAGAGTGAACACTGTGTATGCATATGTATATGTACATACATGTCCAATTATTTCATTACCTTTTTCTTACGGAAGAAAATAGAACCTCGTTTTCTTCTAGTTTTTTCGGAATGATGATCATCGTATACGGTTCCACTGAAAATCAGAATTATCACGCGATTATAAATTTTGTTAAAGTTTGCAATATGGAAATCACCAACAACAGCAAAAGTCTACAATCTACAAGCATTACTATAGTGTATTCAAACAATGTGATGTAAATATATCCAAACTCGAACTACCAACGTCACTAAACATTTTATGAAGAAATATAATACATACAGAGAAATTTCCAGAATACTACAGTATTATCAATATTGGACTGCGGATCTTTATGCAAATTCAGATTTTTATACATTACTTTATTGAACTGGAATTAAGTTAAGATATTCATTTCCTTTATTAATGGTGTTATTAGGTCCAAAAGAAATTAACATTTATAATCATATTTACGCAAATTTTTACTGTATTGTGTTTTGCACTTTTGTATTTGCGATAAGTGCATAAAATTCGCAGTCTAATCATTATACAGTAAATATATACACAATAAAAGAAAGTGCTTAGTAATGAAGCTGATACAAACCAACCATTTTCCCTTATATGTTGTTAACAGAATGTATATTGCTTGCGTAAGTGGCAAACTGAACATATAAAATACTTACTCAGTCAGCAATTCGTCAAGGGATATTTGAGCATTTGGAGTGCCTTCTCTATCCTCATGGAATACATGGCTGTGCGGTGTATGAAGGTCCTCAGTTTCAGTCTCGCTTCCACTACCCTTTTCGTTTCGTTCGTGACGGCTGTACCATGCAGGATGGTAGGAAATTGTCAAATACAAACATAAAGTATGCGACTATTGTGTAAAAGATATTGCAAATCAAACATTCTCGTGTGGAGAATCTCTATTGAGATATACAAGCGTAATAAGGAGATATAAATAAGAATATTTAAGTTTAAACACGTTTAATAAAAAATTTTAATTCTTCTAAGAATATTAGAATTTATAGTTTTAAAGATGACTTAGCATTTTGATATTAATGCCTGTTACTTTTAGAATTGAAAATTAATTACTCTTAGATGTAATAATAAATGGTGCAACCATGCTTCTTGGTATTTTTATCTACATAGTACAAATTAATGCAAGCATTCTTAGTTATAGGCAGATTTTGAGTAAGTCATGCATGAATTTTTTTTAGATTTCAATTTAAATATTAGTGTTCAAATGCGATATATACATAAAATATGTGCATCCTTTTGTCTACTACTTGTGTATGGTGATTTATAACGATCGCAGGCTAGATCATATTAGTTAGATTGTTATTTCATAAATTATAAATGATAACTCTCATAAAAATCAGAAGTTAATGTATACTTGAAATTAAATTCATGTTACTAATGAAATCCAATTCATTCAACTTATATTCGAAATTTTAAATAAAGGGGTAACCCATGTAATACTTACTAAATGTAGAAATTATACAATAATACAATCATTTATAATATTTTATACACGAGATAATAACTGAAGTAATGCACATATAAAATACGTACTGCTATCGTATTAACTAACCACTGATCTAGCTTTGCGATCAATCAATACTGTTATTTAACTTACGCCGTAAGTGATGGTGTAGTCCTAGTTACAGACTCTGCTAAGTGAGCATTAACTTGAGGTGTAACAATTGAAGGCGTCGAAATAGATTTCTGAAGAGGTAAACGAGAACCTGTGACACCAGGCATTAAACCACTACTTTCTGCTAATCTTTGACTACCTTTGAATCGTTTCGTAACTATCTTCTGATATTCACTCTGTTACAGAAAAGTTTTCAATGTATTTCGGTACAAAAGAACATTTAAATAATTTGCCAGTGTAAGCATTCGTTGAATTACCTGCACTAGATCAGCCTCATTGAGAGAATGCGTGCTTGCCTGTGATCTGCATGCGCGATTCCCAACGCCTACAGGTCTTGTACAAGATTTTCCTTGTAATTCTATTTCCATTTCACTGTCTAGGCTACTTAAACTAATACTGCGCTGTCGCTGAAATTGTAATGGATAAACATTGAATATTGTTGTGAAAGGGAGGTATTTAAAAGCTATAACAAAGCAAAATGAAAAAAGCAACAAAGCAATCATATCCATGCTACAAATGTACAATGAATAATGTATATAAAAAAAAATGTATCAGACAATATTAACCATGTTTTGCGCTTGCAGGTGATTTTGCCCAGAATATCTGCGACGCCCACATCGTGTGTCTTCCAGGTCTGTCCAGCTGCGTCTTCTATCTATACCCTGTGCATTCTGTGAACGAGGACCTACCGATGGAAAATGTGTAGGAGAACTATTGGTAGAGCAATTAGTGAGAAGATCTGGATCAGATCCCGTTTCATTATTACTCGAACGTGGTGCAATTTCAGGTGAATTTAAGGGACACAGAGAAGGACACGATGATGTTAAACGTTGCGGTACATCATTGTGGGATGTGCGATGATTATATCCCCAGTTGTTCAGCGTCAGATCTCTCATACGCTGAATGCAATCATGGATTTCATGCAAATGTTGCAAGTTGTCCTCTGCAAGGAGGTGAATCAATTGTTAGCCACAGAAGCACACAAAATATTTTAACATCAACTGGCTTCGAGTCGAATATAATGTAATGCGTGGGTGTTAGACGGATCAAAAATCAAAGAAATTTACCCAGGACAGGGTAGTTCTTAGCAAGACCAGGTGAATGCGGTGTGACACTAATAATTGGCACCAAAGGATTAGGCTGCGATTGTATATTAGAGCCAATTGTAAGCAGAGGATGCTGCTGTTGTTCGTCAGTCCCTTCAGACATAGCGATAGCAGTTTTCTCAGTATTGTCTTTGGTGTAGCCAGCTTCAGCGATAATATTTCCACGTAGACTCAGACTACCAAGATCTCCATTAATAATAGGTATACGATCGCAGTCGGAATGCGATGATCCCAAGTAGTCAGTTATTACATCTTCTTCACTATCCTCCCCACTGTTTGGACACTCATCTATAAACAAGACAAAAACGAACCCTGTTATCGCTTACGTCCACATAACACGAATAGTAATTAATTTTTATCACAGACATTTATCCATAAGAAACAAGCAATTATACGTTAAAACATAAACTCTTTAAATAGTGAGAAAATATTGTAACAGGCATTCTAAATAATGTTCCATGAAAACGACAAAACTCGCAGTGCAACAACGAACGTCGCATTTCGTAAACTGCATCGAGATACGGAGAAAACCGATATCCAAATGTCCTCGCGTCTATTGACTGCAGAGGGAACAAATAGGACTTGCTCCTGACAATCGCAGCAGTCTCCCGCTCTCATGTTATAGTAATGTATAAAGACATATTCAATGAAAATCAGGTCAAACTATTTCACGGGATGTATCTGCACGTTTCGTTTCACAATTGCATGAACGCCAGCATAAACGTAAATACATTTAGTCCTTCCATCGATACGAAAAGGATAAATTTGAATACAGCGTTAACATTGACTGACATTAATTTTTATCCTGTCAAGCTAATATCTGCCAGGGATAATTCAAGGTCGTTTGTCTGATCTCACGTATTCAACTGCAAGGATGTTTGAATCGTTCTGACATTAGCTGACACAACAGATAAAAATACGATGAATATTTTCATCATATCACTGTGGCTGATCAAGCGAAACTTCCTGTTATATTCAGTGAAAAACAATTACACGGCAAATTCACCGAGAAAAGGCGATGTACGCGCGAATGAACTTGTCATACAAAAATACCCGTCGTTTTTAATGCGATCACTTCTGACGGGGGATGTTTCGTTTAACGATAATATTACATTTTACCTACACGATGACTCGACGAGCCGTTTATTGTCATCCTCGTATATTACGAATAACTATGTAGGTATGCTTAAATCGCGCGAATCGTTCTTTTCCAGGAAACAGGGGTAGACACACTGTTGCTTTTCCCCGTAACTCCCGAGCGCGAATTGATCCGTTGGTCCGCGCGTGCCACCCCACCTCTAAACACCCCCGATCCTTAACCGACCTCCAACCTTCAGTCTAAATACCTTTACTGCCGCCCTTTTCGATACATTCATCTCTTGTTTTCGCTTTCGTAACTTTTCACGCCCGACCAAACCTTTTTTTTCCGGGAAAATTATTTACTCTCAATTGAATTTCGTTTCTTAGACACAAAACTGTATTTCCACAGACTTTTAATAAAACAATTACTCAAACACATATAACATTGAATGCATTTTTTTCGTTACTATTTAATCTCATTAAAATTATCAACTAATAATACTCGTTACTTTTATACATAATAATGATAGTTTTAGCTATGATTCTTCTTGGAGTAAAAAGCTTATGTCAGAAATAAATTATAAAACTGAAGGACTTATATCATGTGGTATACAAGAATTACAGTTTCATATGGAATTTACTCCATAAAATGATTGTAAGAAACAGATGATACATTTTATTTGTCTGACAGCATCAAGAGGTAAATACAAACAATGCGTCGGTGATAGGTAATGTAACTTCATGATGTGGAGAGGATGGTGATCCCATCACAAAGAGAAAGCACAATAAGGAGAGAATCTGTTTGTTTTGTGTAACAAGCTTGTTATTCTATCAGTGCAACTAATAATATTTAATGAGGAAAAAATTGATTATCACAGTGTCACATTAATAGAGAACACTTTTATCACCTTCTATATTGATAAGTACTACTAAACTGTACAATTCTAAAAGACCCCTTTTATTAAAACTATACTTGTTAAGTTAAAGATGCAACCAAAGTTTACAATTTATATACTACAATATTATGAATACAACAAATAGAAATATATTTTCTATATCTAAAAAAATGCTTCATACTAGGATGTCATTTAGGAATCCAACAGTAACTAAAGAGGGATAAACATATAACATTGGGTATAGTTCAACTATACTCAAACATAAAATAGTATTGAGTTGTATAGTATTAACACAACAGAGCACTAAGTTGTATTAACTTATTAAAGAAAAAACTATTTACATGTAGTATAGCATTTATTCTATTAAAGATTACAGAGAAGATTGAAAAATTAATAACCTTACAGTATGTATGTTAACAACAATAGCATAAATTTCTAAGTAATTATTAAAACATAGACTGAGGTTACAGGGTATCTATATTATAATTTTAGTTTCACTTAATATTATTAATATTATTTATATATTAGATAATCAGTATTAATACTCTATTAAAAAGGTACTAAGAACAGTTTCCATATAAGGTATAAAATATTGAACATGTTAATGTATGTACCTATAAAAATATAACTTCAAAATTTACATTTAAATTACATTTTCCTACTGTTGTATATATTATGCATTTACCATAGAGCTATATCCTTACAACAAAAGATAATATCAAGAAATGTCTTTGGTAAATCTTATCTCCACTATGTGATAATATTTCAATAAATTTCAAATACTAGCATATATAATATAATGTAACTGTTTCTACAAAATAGGATATTCATAATGAAACTTAGATAGGATATAACTCTAAAAAACAATGGCTGTTCTTTTTACGCAAGTAATTTATTGTATACAAAGAATGTATCAACTAAAGAATATAGTATAAATAGATTAAAAAATAGTCAGTGGAAATGTTCTTTATATTAGTTATAACTCACCGGATGAAAACGGAGCCAGTATTTCCTGCCGTTTCTCCATCTTTTTCTTTTCAACGGTTGGATGTATATTTAAGTCTTCCAAGAGTGAGAACTGAAACATTTGTAAACATTGTAAATAGTATTAAACCAAAATTATTGTTTCGCAAACATTTCGTGAAACCTCGAAAGACTGAACCAAATTGGGCACAGAATGGTCGGCATAAAAATTTATAAATATAGGACATGCACTCCGAGTAAAATATCAGTTACCCGTGTAGTATTTCACATTCTAAATAGGACGACGTACACACTTTGTTGCCAAAGGAAGCCGTATTGACAGGTGAACGCTCGACTTGATTGTTTCAACGATTAAAATATATTATTCGACGTCAAAGGCGATACGTACCTAAACCGTAATAATTCTTATAAATCCTTTAACATTACACGCGATTTATTATATCTAACTCCTTCATGGGGGGAACAAAATGTTGTATCTACCAATTTATATCATGCAGTCAAGGCACGTCGACCATTTTGTACTAGCCCAGTGCTGTTCAACTGTGTTCAATACAAGCACAAGCTCCGGCCTCCGGCTGCTCCGAAGCTTACGAACTACCCCCACTAAGTCTCTTTCTCTCTATGGTACTGTATATGTATATAGATCATATAGATCCTATGGCTAGGGTTGAATCGATACCGCCAAGGTATCAATACTTTTACTCATTGCTATTGTTGCGGCCTTTTCCAGGGAATACTTTTCAACTGAAAAATCAGGCGTGAATCTTCGGTTGTGGAGCCCTGAAGAACTCTGCTCGTTAGGAAATTCTGGACTTCTGTTAAAGGAGACAACGTTGATTGGAAAAACGATCGAGGGTCAATACTGGAATGGACTCCTTCACAAAACGATCGTTTTTGTTACATTTGTTAATTACAATATGTCCTTAGATACCAAGAGCCAATAAAATAATTATTATTATAGATTATGAAATAATTTCTTATTTGCTAATACATTTCTTTCAGCTATTGATTTTCTAATTTTCAAGTCTTTAACATATTTGCCATGATTTAATATACTTTAGAGAAGGAGTAAAAGCAAAATTCGACTGTTAAAACATACATTCCTAAGCAAATATTAATTAATTGAAATATGCATTTTAAAAGAATACAGAGCTGTTTTCAGTTGCTTTTAAATAATGCCAACTTCACTTCCACCTCCTTTTATAATTAACACCTCGTCGGTGGTAATTACAATCATCAATCATATACCTCAATTTGAATTTCACGCTTGTGAAGCTTACGCTGGACGCCGCTACAAGATGAGGGCGAGATTCACAGCACTATATAGTATTGTATGAAGGTATCGATACTTACTCTGTATCGAAACAAAAGTATCGATACCTACTTGTATCGAATTATATTTACATAACCTTGATACCGTTGATACCACGGTCGTATAAGGAAACTCCCGTGGTGTGGATTAGAGATGGCGTGAACTGCTACTTGTGAATCACTCGTGATTCGATCATGTTCGTTCCCAATCATGGTAATTTTTCACAGTGATTCGTGATTTCTCGTGATCGTTTCTGATTGGTGGATAAACCTAACAGTTCTTTAACACATAATCTGTATATTTTATATTAACGACATCAAATAAAAAATTCGAGTTATATCGTATAAAGTGAAGGAATAATTAGAAACAATGAGGAATAATGAATAAATTAATGATTATAAATTATAATCTACATGTTACCTAGCAAATCATTCTTTTAGAATTTCTTGTTTTTTCTACTGATTTTTACAAACACAAAGAGTAATTTCGTTTTTAAACGTTTAATTAAACATTTAAAAACGAAAGTTTTTAGCGAGTAATTAAACGTTTATCTGTTTAAAGATCAAGAACTTATGATCGCAGTGAGCAAATTCACTCAAGATAAAAATATCGCAATCACAGTCGTGAATGAAGTTAAATCACGACCGTGATCGTGATTCGGCGATCACTGTGATAAATCACCGTTAGTGATTTTGCACGCCATCTCTAGTGTGGATGATCCCTTAAAGAAACAAAGTGCACTTTTGAACTTTGCCACGAAGCGAGGGCACTACGGTCTTTACATGGACCTAGGAATGGGACCTTGCGCTCAGTCTTTTATTTCCTATGTCCATGGGTTGCATGCGGCGCATGCGCCTATGCGTTCTTGTATGGACCATAGCATATATAATAGACTGTGCGGTCTTATGGTAGGGCTGAGGTTCGGAGTGGAGTGAGAGGATAATACATGGAGTAACAGACTTCTCTTTCTAATGGAGCTGTTGGCGAGGGATTCTCCTAAGACTGAATAGAGACATTATATGCGTGCAGCATTCCTTCTCCTCATCGCCCTCCAGTCGCTTTCTACCACTTTCTACCCTCCCTCTGCGATGTGTGAGCGAGAGAGGAATGACTCCATTGCTACTTCTGTCCTTCGGTCTCGCTTCATCCCTCAGCTTCTATATAATACCACATACGAGGTATAGGAGTAGACATTTCATCCAATGTATTTTTGCGGCCCACTTTTCTGGGGTTACGTACCCCATTTTCATTTTAGTATCACTACCCACTGCAGATTCACCATTCTCAAAACGTAGAAGTCGCTAAAATCATAGGCTTTTTAAGGTGTCGGTACTACAGTTTAGGTGGGCCACCAACCGCCATAACATGAAATGTCTATTCTTATACCTTGTCAGTGAAAGGAGACAACTTTAATTTGAAAAACACGTCTTTATTTATCGAGGGTCAATACTGGAATGGTCTCCTTTACAAAACGATCGTTTTTGTTACATCTTGTTAATTACAATATGTCCTTAGATACCAGGAGCCAATAAAATAATTATTAAATTATGAAATAATTCCTGATTTGCTAATACATTTCTTTCAGCTATTGATTTTCTAATTTTCAAGTGTTTAACATATTTGCCATGATTTAATATATTTTATAGAAGGAGTAAAAGCGAAATTCGACTGTTAAAACATTCAACCCTAAGCAAATATTAATTAATTGAAATATCCATTTTAAAAGAATGCAGAGCTGATTTCAATTGCTCTTAAATAATGCCAACTTCACTTCTACCTCCTTTTCTAATTACAATCATATACCTCAATTTGAATTTCACGCTTGTGAAGCTTACGCTGGACACTGCTACAAGATGAGGGCGAGAACCTCAGGTGTTACAGGGAATGAAAATAGGCTGTACAAAATGCACACAAATCATTAATAATGTTTTATGTGTTCGCGAAACGGAACGCATTATCGACAACATAAGGCACACTAAATTTATAGCATAAGTGTAGTACTTGTGTTGGAGAATAGCGTCAGATAGTGCCAGGTAAGATTTTGCAAAGATTTATTTAACGTGATTATTGTTTATTGATGAAAAAAATTTGAGTAATGTAAAATATCAATGTGAATGATTAAGCAGGAGATAAAAATGCGTCAAAAGTGCGGTTTTTCAAATTGTCAGCAGTATCGCAAGGTTGGAAGTGGCATCCAATTCTTTAGGTAAGATTTTTGAAAAGATTTGTATAAGATACTACTTGTTTTAAGATTTGCTTTTCTTGGAATAAGGTGTAATGGTGTATTATATATCATACGCAGCCTAACCTAACTAGAGAAAGGTTACAGTATGTTAAGCCAGGATTAAATGTTTCAGTCTTCCCCTAAAAGATCAGGAAGTATGTTCGAAATGGTTGGAAGTAATGGGAAAAGAAAGTAACAAACCCTCTAAGTACACAGCCGTTTGCAGTTTACATTTTACTGCCGATGATTACTTAAAAAGACCTGGCACGTATGTACAACGTTTAAAACCAAATGCAGTACCATCTATAATTGTACAAGGGGCTGCACGTATTATGCCCATAGTTAAAGAAGAAATCAATGTTACAAACATTGATGGGCCATCAACTAGTTCCAACAATATAATGGACCCGTTAGGAGCCATTGTACCATTTGTAGCAGATAACACAGATGTATTGACAGGTAATAAAATATATATGTAGTGCAATTATACTGACTGTCTTAGGAGTTACTTTCAAACTAGCATGTCTTTTCTTGCAACAATAGATAAACCTTCCAACGAATGATGTTTCTCTATTATATTTATAACTAACAATCGTAATATTCAATTTTGTTTGTTGAAACAGATTGTATTGTTTTGCCAATTGAATCAGCTGAAAATAAGCGACAGCTTGAAGTAAATTCTGATGACGAACCACTCAAAAAGAAAAATACCAGTGACACACCACGGAAGGTGAAACTGAAACGCATTGTGAAGACCCTCCGGCAAAAAATCTTGCGTAAGGAAAAAAAAATAAAGAGCATGAAACAGTTATTAGGCACGCTGACAACAATAGTCAAACAGTAGAAGTACTTGACATACTGACACTACATATGCAATTAAAAGATTATATATTACACTATATAGCGGGATTTATAGTCAGATGGTTGCATAAAAAGCAGGATTGTGTTTCATGTGCAACAGTACTGATGCTAGAAAAAAATGATCATGCATACCATCAAAGTACGATATACTCCAAATTTACAGATCTCGTCAATAACGGAGGTTTAATTCTTCCGTCTCAGAGCGTAAATTCAATTGTGCGACACACGGAAAATAAAATTTCGACTTGAATTAGTCGCTTCAAGCGACTAATATTAGTCGACTGAAAGTAGTCGCTTCGAGCGCTAATATTAGTCGACTGAAAGCAGTTGCTTCAAGCGCTAATATTAATCGCCCGAAATTAGTCGACAATTTAAAAAAGAAGTCGAAGGAAAGTAGTCGTTGGTTACTATCGAGTTAGTCGATAGTTTTTAGTCGATTGTGCCCATCACTACACTGATCACAAAACTTTACTATTGAAAATAGGACTCCCGAATCCTTTATGAGCGGTGTCCCCACATTGTTCTATACGGCTAGTACTAGACAGTACTACAGAGTCTCTAGTAGAGACTAGAGTCGGCTGTGCCTGTGTATCACTGTGTATACGACCGTGATTGCGATTTTTTTATCTTGAGTGAATTTGCTCACTGCGACCGTAAGTCCTTGATCTTTAAACAGAAAAATGTATTCAATATGATTTTACGATGAATTACATTATTGTTTGTGGTTTTAAAAAACAAAAAAAGCAAGAAATTCTAAAAGTATGATTTGCTAGGTAACATGTAGATTATAATTTATAATCATTAATTTATTCATTATTCTTCATTGTTTCTAATTATTCCTTCACTTTATACGATATAACTCCAATTTTTGTTTTAATATCGTTAATATAAAATATACAGGTTATGCGTAGAGATGGCGTGCAAAATCACTAACGGTGATTTATCACAGTGATCGCCGAATCACGATCACGATCGTGATTTAAGTTCATTCACGACCGTGATTGCGATTTTTTTATCTTGAGTGAATTTGCTCACTGCAATCGTAAGTCATTAATCTTTAAACAGAAAAACGTATTCAATATGATTTTACGATGAATTACATTACTGTGTTTGTAAAAATCAGTAGAAAAAACAAGAAATTCTAAAAGAATGATTTGCTAGGTAACATGTAGATTATAATTTATCATCATTAATTACGAAGCACAATACAGCCACAACGGCATTTTACATACAAAACAAGATTCTACATTTTCCACATTTGTTTATTAGTAATTTATTTAATCTTTTATATTATATCATATAAGTTTTATGTCATATAAGTTATATATTTTATTTATTGTATACACTTTAAAACTATCACTGAATTAAAAAATTTATACTTCAAAACTTATGCGTGACATTCGAAAATGTTCTTTAAATAAATTATTAGTGTATAACGGAATTATATTTTCAGCATAGTTTCCATTTTCTTATTTAATTCTGCGCTTTGTTGTTGTTAAATTATTTATAGATTGCTCTAAATCGTCCATTAACATTTTAATTACATCTACATCCAACTCATTGGCCAGAGCATTTAGCAAAGCTGCATTCATTTTTTAATATTTTATTATTATTTTATTAAAAGACAATATATATTGTTCACGCATGTTGAAATACTGTTTAAATTTAACGCCAAAAGCTGCTACAAATGTATCACACTACCCCAAATGTCGTTCAGGAAAATAAAAGGACTGATCAGTGATAGATTCGTAACGATTGTCTCAACTCAACGGTTGAGTCCGCTGAACGCAGCCAATTATTTACACTAAATTGAATAAATATTAAATGTAACTAGCGAGAGAGAGAGAGAGAGAGAGAGCTAATGAAGCTGCTAACAGAAGGAAAATTTGTTATTCAAATTCGTTTTCAATGGATAACATTAATTTTGCTGCCGCCTTCTCGAAGTTTTGAAAGCTGCGATGGTTTTCTGAACGCCATCTGTGATAAATACGTCCTGTCAATAATGATAATGGCGCCAAAGCTTATGAAATGCATGTATCTGACAGAATAGACCTATCATCCAATGCTTTTTTCTGTCCCACGTTCATAGGGCTACGTAGCCCTGTTACCATTTTAGTGTCAATACCCGACGTTACCGATAAAGCATGAATTCTGAGTATTATTAGCACAAATGAAGTGTTATATATTCCATTCATATTACGTGTATCTATATGATTTCACGAGAATAAAAATATCCGATGCTTCAGTTTAAGGTTAAGGGATAAATATGACAGTCATGAAACATGAAACGGAAAAGTATATATTTTTTCACTTAACTACAAGACAATTTATTCTAAATGCATCGTTAATGGACATTTTACTAATGTTACTTTTTACATGTTCTTGTTTTATTCGTTTTTATATCTTGCCTTATATTTGTATATTTGTAACAAATAAATTCAGAATAGATGTAGTTTCATAAATAGTTTATCAAATCTACATGTGGGAGAATATATACACCGCTTTCATTAACATCTACATATTTATAATTTATATGGGAGTGTGAATAGTTTTACTGCCTATTGTAAGAATTTTAATACGCACGAACAATTACTTTCTGGCAATTGGTAAATTTTTACATATGAATTTACTTACACGTTATTTACTTCCAAAAATTTTATTTATTGCGAGTAATTAAATAATGAACGTATGTTAATATTCAGCTACGTGTCTCTCAAATTAAGTGAAATACAGAAGTTTTATTTTCTTGAAAATTAGTGTCAAAGAATGCAGCAACTGGTCAGATTAGTTTCGTAAATAAATCGAAACCCTGTATCGGCACATTGTTTTTTATGCTATCAAATATCACACGGAATCTTTTAGGAAGTAGTAAAATCTTTTACACAAATTCAATGAAATACTTTCAGGTACCCAGTTTAGGGCTATGAAATTAGAATGTTCAAGAAGAGGTAAAAAAGTTTCATATTTGCAATTATTTTGTGAAATGAATAATAAATAAGGATCTTAGGAATTTATACTGGAGAGCTAAATCTTTAAAAGGAACATGTCGCTTAAAGAAATTAGTTAA